CCCCCCCCCCCCCCCCCCCCACGTCTCACCAGAAGAACGTCTTGGCCGTCATGTCGAAGACCGGGTCCTCCTCGTCGAAAGCTCCGCACAGCATCGCATGCACGCTAGAAGTCTTCCCGCTGGTGACGCAAGAGCGGATGATCCCCACCAGCATCGCCGCGCTCGTGAGTGCGAGGAGGATGTTGTGGCCTCGCTCTAGCCTCCTGCAAACGTCCAGCAGCGGTGGTGTCACACAGAGAGAGAGAGAGAGAGAGAGATCTTGGCGTAGATGGACGAAGAGGCGTGTGATGATATGCGGTCGCGGTTTTCCGTGAGCGGTTAGTTGCTTCGGTGCTAGCGGCGGAGGTATCGCTTGCTGGTGTTTCGTGATGTTGTGAAGTGTTGTGATTTTTCGTGATTTTTCTTCGATCAACGAACATTATGCCCTCCGCACCGCCAACACCGCCGTTGTGGAGGAACCACCGCCAATACACCAAAAGGGGGGGGAGCAACACAACGACTCTACCCCGTTCACACCACTCATCACGCGCGATGACGCCGTGAGGTTTCACGGGGGGCAATCAACGGCGCCCGCCCGTGTTCCACGCTGATTGTGTGCTTGGGTCTTCAATACGAGCACCAACACATGGTAAGAGCGGCATCGCCCCGTGTCGCCAGAAGCGGGTGGCCGACGCTCAAATGACTTCCGCCAAGCCACGACATACCCCTCCGTCCAATCGAGGACGCGTGGTCAATGGTCTCACAGCAAAGGCATGCAAAACGTGAGCACGCCGCCCCCCCACACGACCTCCGCTCTGAACCCTCAACAGCAAACAACAACCCTTCCTCCGTCTCAATCAACGCCCCATCGCCAACAAAAGCAGCAGCCTAGACAAGTTTCAGTGAACCAAACATATCGGACAAAAGCATGGAGTCGGTGAACTCTCGGGGGGTGTGAAGGCTAGGCTCTACGTCGCCCCTGCCTCTCTATTTCATACGACAAAACTCAACATCCTCGCTTAGGCAGTCCAACAAAACAGACAAAAAGTGAAGGGGTGCTGCTCGCATCTCACCGGAAAACACCGTGGAGGGGCTGCAGCATCACCGGGAGCGCCTCAACCAGGGCCAAATAACCCGCCACCGAAGCCCAGCCCCAGAACTCGATCACCCCGAATCGCACCGATCGCCACTCCCCTTCCTCCAGAACGCTCCAAAGCCCCTTCATCCAGTGCAGGCACGCCTGAAGCGTGGGTAGCACTCCCTCGCCAACCTTTTGTCCGTCAAGAGGAGAACGTAGGGGATGGGAGTTGGGATGAGTTGCCGGAGGGGAGACGCGGAGGAAGGAGGCTTGCTTCGAGAGTCAGTCAGAGGTGCTTGCGGGTCGACCAAACACACCAGAAATACTACGTGCTGTCCCTTTGAGCACGCAATAACTCGTGGCGGACTTTGAAACTGAACAACATGTTTTCGGGGAATGGTGTTTAGTCCAGCATCAATATTGGGTCAAAAGGGATGCGACACGCCCAGTGCCGAGAAACGGCGACTGACAAGGCCGGCCCACCCCGCCCGCCTCAGGCGACCGGCCCCAACGACCCATCCACGGGTGCTAACCTGTCCACACGATACACCGCCACCTCCCTCCGTCCCACAGCTCAGGATCGCCGCGACCCTGTCGGATACAAGGGCCGACAGCGTCGCCATCCCTCCTCCTCCTCCGCGTCCTCCTCCTGCGGACAAGGGTGGCGGCGGTTGCCGCTGGGTCTGCTGCAAAGCCTCCGAAGCCACCAGGGCCAGCGCTAGCGTGACGATTGCCTTGGCCGCGAAAGCCCGAGAACCCGTTGGCCGGTTGTTTGAGGCCGTCGCCGCTATGAACAGCCCCAACAGTGCCACCTGCGGTGGAGGGGGCGACGCCGATGGGGGGGGGGGGGGGGTTAATTGCTGCTCCCCTTGGCCATTCGATGTCTAAGAAACAAACCCCACTTTTGCAAGCTGCACTTTGAGGGAAGGGGTACATAAGCTTCCGTTCCAAACGAGCCACATTGCCTACGGTCGGGAGGTGACAACAATCAACACCCCACAACAGAATTGGAGAATTTCTCGCCTTCCCTCGGGGCTGGCGACAAAGAAGGGCGTGCCAACGCACGAAGCGCCCAACTGCAACAGTCATAGCCCCACGAACACAAAACATGCTGTCGTATGGGCGGCTGGGAAGCTGCTCGAAAATGGTGTCGGACACACCAACAGCAACAAAACCTCGACACCCGTGTATTGAAGAGGTTGTCACATTTTTTTCCGCTGTGCTGTATTCGAAAGGAATCGTGCGTCTTGGCCCTCCCTTCGGCGCTCTCCCATGCCCGCGCTCATGTATCGCGGGTCGAGGAGAGAACACGTCGGCCGACCAGAAATGAGAACACGTCTGCTCGAGCGGAGGTCGACGAGCGCCAGCCAGCATCTAAGCAACCCCTTCCCCAGCCGGGAAGGATACGCACCGTCAGCGACACGCCCCCTGGACGAAAAAAGGTCCAATGGTCCTACACAGGTACCACAACGTATGTATACGAAAACACACTTCTGAGCACCAGGCAACATCGGCCCAAGCCCTCCCCAGCCGGGTGTGCGTCTTCCGCTCACGGCGCCTGGACGAAAAAAGGTGCAACGTACGCACAATTTCTGCCTGGCATCAAACAGTGTCCCCCGCCGGAGAACACACTCACATGGAGGGTGGCAAGGTTGCCCGCCGTCAGCCCGTGCCCCCACCCGATGCAAGCAGCGCTCACTACGACTCCGAATACCCCGGCGGTCTTCGCAAGCCTGATCTGTGTCTCTGAGTTACTGTCCACCACCTCCGCCCCGCTGCCCCCACCGCCCTCCGCGGCCGGCGCCGGCGCCTCCGGTTTTACGATTACGGGGGCTGCCGCCGTGCTCTTTACGGTGACCTCAGGTGTTGTCGGCGTTGTCTCCGCTGAGGCTGCGGGCGCAGGGGCGGTATTCGCCATCGACGCGCGACGGGTCTTGCTGCGGGTAGACCTGGGCTCGGTGGCGGGAGCGTCCAACACCTGAGGAGCAACAGCAGCATCCGGGTTCTTCTTCGGAGAGATTTCCTTCTTCTTGGGAGAAATTTCCTGCTTCTTCGGAGAAATTTCCTCGGAATTTTCCCCGGTCGCCGGTATCGCTGCTGCCGCCGCTCCAACGGCATCCTTGGTGGGCGTCGAAGACTCAACCTGCTTTCCGACGTCAGCGACGGTCGGCAGCGCTTTGGTTACCGTTTCCGGCGAGAGCTCCGCGCCTGCGCCGTCGCTGCTCTTGACGGCCGCTGTGGGTTCTTCGTCCTTCGCCTGGGCGAGCTTTTCGACCAAGGAGTTGTCGTGGTCGTGGAGGCGCTGTATGAGCACGGCCTTGAGCCCGCTCACGGGCAGGCCTCGCGCCTTGAGCTCCACCTTGAGCTCCACGACCCTCATGTCCTCGAACGCCTGTTGCTGCCGCAATGTGTTAGTGGGAAGCGGGCGGAGCCGGGAAAAGGAGCAGCGGTCAGAATAATAAATCAGGTCCTCGGGCATGAATCCTACACTACAAGTCTGTTACCGTGGATGTGGGTTTACAACCGTTGCTGCTCGGGTTGATGTCGTGCTTGGAAAAAAAGTGAAGCTACGGGGAAATCAAAACAAAGAACCGGCGTGCTGTGTATGTGTGCAATCTGTTGTTTGGACTGCGACTTCTGCACCCTGATGCTTACTGTAATACTTCATAGTTTGGCGCCGTCGGGCCGGCGGCAGAGCAGCGAGCACAGCAGTAATCAGGGACAGGAGGCTTTAAAAGCGCTGACGGCAGTAACATCTACAAATGTGTTGGGCCCAGGCCAACAAAATGGCACATCTGGCAATGTTGGTTGTAGAACATGAAATACACGGTCGACCATGCGGTGTGTTCACCACTGCCAACACTGCCAACGTTGAATCTCTCGCCATCTGAGCAGGCTGTGGTGTAGTACACTGGCTCGTCCGAGCATGCAATGCAGTGAGACAGCTGAGCCCCAGCTACTGCTGTACCACCATTCTCAGTGGCTGGGAGTGTTTCGGAACCAGAGCCAGGAGTGCGGAGACGGAGGCGCTAGCTTTGGTGACCGCGTTCACCGTCAGGTCTGTGCTTTACTTGGTGTTGCGATACCCCCAGGCAGTTGGCATGCAGTCCATATTTACTGCTGCTCGTATGTAGTACGTGTGCGACTCCGTGATGTGCCGGTGCCCCCAACGACGCAAGGCAACCTAGCGGTTTGGCAAGTGTTAAGGTGAAACATTCACTGCTTGTAGCTGGCCGGGGCTTCCATGGTTATCGAAAGCGGAGGAGACATTCCATGACACGCAAGTATCCAATGAACCTGTTGCACATTCGTTCACACGCTGGCCGCTGTTCGGTGTCGTTTACTATGTAGCGCGCCGAGAAAGACCAACGGCCACAATAACGCAACTGTTGAAACCGTGCAAAATCCTGATAGAGCGGGTCCCAATGTATCACAACTCGTGGAGTTGGATGAAACCGATGTGCTGTGGTTGCTCACGGCAGGTTTTTGTTTTTCCTATTGGGTTTGGGAGTGGTGGTGCTGCTGATCGTGTGTGCTACAGTGTGTGTGCAGCGCAGAAGCACCAGGTGCAACTGACATTTTACGTCCTCTTTGCTGACGGATGTATCGGAATTCATCTTGGGTGGTTGAAACCCGAAGGTAGACCGAGCCAAGAGGAAGTGCCGACTCTCTAGCTCCTTCTCGCGCGGTGCCTTCCAGCGTGGCGGTGTGTGTTGGGATGTGTGCCTATCGGTTGATGTGCGCAGCAACCCTTCGGCATGCACACATGCAGGCGGGCAGCTTTGGAGAGGATACTGGGGTCTATGTACGTCGAGCTCACTGGGCATGGCACCGACACAAGCAACACTCGGGACAAAATGACGTTGTGCAAGTTTATCTCACCGCCATCCTGTCTTCGCGGCGCTTTGCCCACTTGATGCTCCGGCCGTGTGTGCGGTCCCAAGCCCAGAGCCCAGAGCACCTCTGAGTGCCTTCTACACTCTCCTTTAGCATCTACGCACGTACCCATTTGGACAACGTTCAACCACGGAGCCCCTCCTTTTTTTTTTTTTCCTTAATATTGACTCGAATGGGTAGTCTTTCTGTGTGTGTTTTTATTATTCCTTAATTGACACAACGAATCCATCTCTATATCATAGAAAAGAGTCAGAGACTTTTCCCGTTTGGTTTGTTTGGGAAGGACCACACACAGCACAATAATAAAATACACACACATGCAACCGATCTCTCGTGCAACACGCGTTTTTTTTTGTTGCAAATGGAACGTTGTCCGGCCTTTTCGGGCCTTCTTGAGTACCGTTTCGTTTTCGCACCCCCTATGTATGGCCCAGTCGATGTGTCAAATGTATACACCATTCGATATGTATGTGTTTCGACGCACAAACGGGAGTCACACAGGAGCAGCACTGCTGTACTTCTCTGTGCGCCTGCCCCCCTGCGATGCTTGCCTTCACACACACGGTGATACCCGCGGCTAGACTTTCCATTTTTCTCGACTACTGCTGTAGAATACCGCCGATTATTCACTCCCGCGAGATTCGAACCCGCAATGCAGAGGGTCACAAGGTTATGAGGTCGCCAACTGAACAACAGGGGCGACCGGTATCCAGAAATCATGACCGAGACGCTCTCATTGGTGGGCACACGGGGGACTTGAAGGCTGTGCTCCGCAAGTAGAGTAAGACAAAGTGGGTGACATCGTAACGCAAAACAAGACTTGGTCAAGAATGACGGATCAGCGGCGGCGGTGTCTACACTTCACATCTTCCAGGTATGTTGTTCCATCAAACCGTAAGCTCAACCAACACCAACACCAACCCTAAGTACAATGATATATGTGGCTGAGCGCCGCGGCCACCGTAAACATGACGGTGTCAAGGATCAAGTTGACTCGAGTCACCTTCAGCACGGCGGAGAGAGGAATACTAACCTCTGACCCCATGAAAAGGCTAAGGCTATCTGCATACACGCCACAGATGCCAGCCAAGCTTGGAAGCCTTCAAGGTTCAGAACTCTCTCCCCGCAACAAAGTCAACATGCCATTTCCACACGATTGCGGGCCAAAGAACAAACAAAGCGGCCCGCAACCAACCATCGCCCTTCACACTTGGCATCGTCGGCACGAGCACCACACCAGAAATTCGGACAAGGGAGCGTCGGAAACAAAGCCACACATCTTATCACAAAAATAGCTGGTACAAAATCCCTATGCAAACAGTATCAGGAATAAATGATCAAGACTCTCCGAGCAAGACAGAGTTGTGAACACCAGTGCCTGTCGCCCGCGGATTGGTCCGCCCCAAGGCGCGTCACCGAGGAACCTCGTCCCGCACGAAGACCACGGCGTCTTCCTTCTTGGGCGCGTCCTTCCACGCCACGATCAGCATGTTCTGATCCAAGAAAAACTCGTACAGGTCTCTCCCGCCGTCGCCGCCCTCCCCCCCCGCCTTCACGATCTTGTCCCCGCCCAGGTCCAAGTTCATGGTGTTGAACTCCCACCTGAGGTGGTAACCCCCCGTAACCCCCCACTTACCCCTTCCCCGCACCGCCCCGTCCTCCGTCAGGACCACGTCGGCCACTCTCCCGAACCCTTCCGCGCGGACGCCGGCCCCTCCGGCAGCCGCCGCCGCCCGCGGTTCCCTCGCCGCGGCCTCCACCATCGAGGCCGCGAGAGCCTTCGCCTGGGCATCCTTCGGGTCTTCGCCGCCGCCGCCGCCCCCGGCCGCAGCTCCCGCCGCAGACCCGGTGGCCTTGACCGGCTGCGCCTCCGCCGCCGGGGAGAAGCCGGCGACCGCGACTACGGTGGGCATCTCGCCGTCCTTGACGGTGTTGGTCAAGGCGCTGATTCGCGCCCGGAGGGGCCGCACCGGGGTGTCGGCGTTGTACTCTAGTTCGCCGCCGGAGACAGGTCTTCCGGAGATGGATGAAACAAGCTCGCCCAGGGTGCAGGTCGGGCCGGCACCTCTGGATGAAGGCGAGCGGTTCGTGGCCTTCTCGCCGTCTCCGTAGACGAAGGGTACGTTCGGGACGATGGTGGAGGCGGCGATCCAGTGCCCTGGTCATGCATCATCATGATTCCGACGAACCGTGGGGTTTCCGAAGGGGAAGAGGGCGTTTCCAAGGGGAGGGGAGCGTTAACAGGGCCGGTAAAAGGAGTGTTGAGTGCTTTTACCAGCTTCCCTGAAATTTTCCTTTGTGACCCAAGCACCACTGTCGAGGAATCCTGTCCGACACGGTGCGTCTGCTGCCGAGGAACAACAAGAAAAGTGCATCTAACGTCCACAACATTTGGATGTGCTCCGACCCGCGGAGAAGAAACCGCATTGCTCAAGGCTGGAACCACGTGGCAAGCCGGATGTGTTATTTCTAGTCTCCACACAATCTCGTAGCCTCCAACACGCGCAACTTGTTCCTCACCAGCAGGAGGCAAGACAGCACCCCCGCACGCACACCGATAGCTAGAGTGTTCAAGTTCTGTACCCTGCTTCATAGACCGGCGGCCTTTCCTTCGTCAGCCGGTTAGCGCGGTAGATGGAAACTTAAGTACACAAGACACACACAGGCATTTTCTGCTTTATCGTTTACGTCCTACACCGGACAATAGCCTAGCCTGATGCCCCCTCACGGGGGTCGCAGATCATGGCCTGCAGAAGCGCTCTCTGTAATCAGCCGCACTGAGACTGCCGCAGTACTTGATCATTAGTCAGGCGGTTAGCGCGGTTGGTGCCAACAATACAGACACGCGCACCTGGAAGCATCGCGCAGTAGTGCGACTTCCCCAGGTCCTTGCCCACCCCGCACCCCGAGGAAGGGTTGACCAGGGCAAGTTCCTCCATGATAGGGTAAATGTCGTCGGTGATGACACCCCCCGTTTCTTCCAAGGACGACAACAGAAGAGCTTTGCGTGATCGAAGTTCCTGGGAAACGTCGTGACGAGATTCCGTGCGAGAGAGAGAGAGAGAGAGAGAGAGAGAGAGAGCAGGTGTCCTGGTGGTGATATGTGGTGGTTACCTTTAGAGTATACACCGAGCCCAGGCTGAGCGCGTCAGGTGGATATATGGGGAACGTGGGTGAGAGTCGAGCTGGTGAGCTTTTGGTGTTGAATCAAAACCCTCTGGTTGGAGTGAACATGGTAGAGCTATGTACGAGGGTCATGTGGTTGCGTCAGAGGCCTAAACGAGAGGTAGAAAAGACGAGCACCTCAATGTGCAGAGAAAAGAAAACCAACAAGGTTGCATTCGACAAAGAACGCCAGGGAAAGACGGGTCGTCGCAACCCAGCGGGAATAGAAGGAGTGGGGCAGCAGTGCGCCCCCGAATCAGTGGTTCGTGGGGTGAAGAACACCGCTGTCAAGCAGGACCTCGCTTGCGGGGGAGAATGCTGAGTTCTGTCACCGAGCACGCATGCCAAGCACATCTACCCGACACCACAGATAGAGCAGTGAAATCGTCGGCGACGTTGGGAGGAGCAGGCAATGAAACGACACGCGGACGTAAGCCAGTTGTTGACCTGGACGTCGGGTCGTCGATAGCCGTGTGAAGGTCGGACCTCAAGGTCACGCAAGGGTGGCGATGCAATGTCTAAGCCAGCGCTACTCTACAGTTTTCTTTTCCGATGCACGGGTAAACAAAAGTGAGTTGATGGAAGGGTGCCGTTGTTTATACTGCAGTATGATATGGTCAAAAGATACGCCTGTTGGGTACTCTGTGAGACACTTGGCTGCTCGTGGTGTGCCAGCGGCAGCACCAGCTTGGAAGAGAAACAAAAGATCCGCGAACACCGTCTACGATGATGGAGTGTCAACATAGGAGCGACGCTGTCATGATTTGCCATGCACCACCCTGCTGCTGCCGCTGCTGCTCCTTCTCAATACAAAAAGGAGCCACCCACCCGCACTGGCAGCCAACATCACATAATCGAAGAACGATGCCGGAGCAAAGATTTTTCAGCTCTTGCACTGCTGTGAACACTATAGACTACACGTGCTGCAATGGTGCATGTTCTTTGGTTGCAAAACATGTGTTGCCCGGAGCGTTGAATTTCAAACTCTCACCATTACGTACTCCATGATGAGCTTGTTGTCCATGGTACCCTCAAACGCACGCTTCATCGATGCCAGATCAGGCCGGCCCGCCCCCCCGGCACCCTCCCCGTCAGCGACGCTGCGAAGCGCCGACCATTGCTTCCGCACACGATGATTCTCGCCTGCCACAATATCTCTAACAGCACGACGCTGGCCTGTAGTGCTGGTGGGCACTCTGAGTGGGCTTGGCTGCCATGCTGATGCACCTTGCAAAACATCCAGGCCACAAACGACGGCGAGTATTCGAGAAGAAACCATTTCCGTGAGGGAGTTGTTTCTTTCTCGCCCAGTGGTGGGTGGCCGGCCTTCCTGCTGTGCTGTGGCCTCCGCTGCGGCCAAGTGGACTGTCTGGCTTGGTGGCTCGGCTGTACATTTGTGCGGCTCATTTCGCCGCTCAGACACACCACCATTCAGTCGCGGGGCCCCCTTGAGGTTTCGCCGTTGGGCATGATACATAGGCTGTGCCCTTGGTGCAGTCCCGTGTAGAGAGAGGCATCAAGGGCTCGGTGATGGCACTGTGTGATGATCTCTCCCTCTCTCTGTCTCTTTCTGGTGAGCCCCAACTTTATGTAGACTACATAGTGTCTGCAGCAGTACATAGTCTCTACAGCAATGTACGACTTTTTCGTATCCTTCGGGAATGATTCGACGGTGTCCGTCCCTTTCCCCTGTCGCAGTGAAAGGTCGAGAGTTATGTTTTGGGAAAGGTGGGGCAATAATAATACCACCAGGAAATGCTCTTGTGTGACCCCGACTGATACGTCAGGTAGTCTATGTGTACTCCGAAAGGCCTGTAAACCGTTGCCGGAATATCTATATATGTATCCTGGCTTCGTCTTCAAACAACGGTAACAAAAGGCTGTTATTGACTGTCCTCCGCTCTTTGCATCATCAGTGCCTTCCTACGTAGGTTCGGGTGAGGGCATGTATGTATGTGTGGAGCTGTGATGTGTGTCTCTGTGAAAGAAAATGTAGAAAGAGTTAAATTGACATTCATACGCATTTTTAGCGCATTAGACTACTGTTTGAGAGAGTGTTTGTGACGAGATAACATGTAGATGTGACGAGATGTACTGTAGTCCCAATGCGTGCAGGTTGGAGCCGCTTCGGCTGTTTCCTTCCTTATCCTTCCTTTCTCTCTCAGTCGCTCGCTATCGCTCACTCCCAGGAAACGCTGAGCAAGGGGGAACGCCTGTACATTGCCTGCTACTGCTAGTAACCATTGTACCGTTTACCTTCCAAAACTCGGAATACCAGGAATCTGGGCAGGAGGTCGGGATATTCTTGAAAGAGCAGTGGCCAGAATCGGGTACACCCGGTCCAAACACGGCCATAATCGGGTACCCCTACAAGATGCAGCTGGGAGCGACCGCATGCCACCATCTGATTGGCCGACGCCCGCCCCTACCCGACCTTGACCGCCTTTCCACCGGGTGCACCCGATCTTGACTACTCACCCCCGGGAGGGGTACCCGGTTTTTCTTTCCCCCACCCGAAAATGGCTGGGCTGTTCGACCAAAACCCATGCACACAACCACGGGTCGGACGCACACCACTTGCCCTCGTTTGTCGCCAATAATGAGAAAGTAGCGGGAAGGAGAGAAATATGTCTATTCTTGAGATGAGTCCCGTGTGTGTCGCATCTCGTGAGGGAGGTAGTCATCCAGCTCTTTCTTCTTCTCGATCATTTGCACAGACCGCCTGCCGTTTCCCCCAAGGGAGACTTCCACCGCCGGCGGGGGGTCTGCCTCCGCCCGCCGGGCCGTCAGAAGGTCCGAATTCGAGGGCAGGGCGTTGCTGACGTGTACTTGTGTGCATGGGTTTTGGTCGAACAGCCCAGCCATTTTCGGGTTGGGGAAAGAAAAACCGGGTACCCCTCCCGGGGGTGAGTAGTCAAGATCGGGTGCACCCGGTGGAAAGGCGGTCAAGGTCGGGTAGGGGCGGGCGTCGGCCAATCAGATGGTGGCATGCGGTCGCTCCCAGCAGCATCTTGTAGGGGTACCCGATTATGGCCGTGTTTGGACCGGGTGTACCCGATTTTGGCCACTGCTCTAGGATAATCATATATTTCTCGAAGAAATAATAATAAATGTGATACATTATGTGCTTGTGGTAGTTGTGAAACCCTGCTGCTGCTGGCCCTTTTTTCAATATTCACAGGTACTCGTACGCCGTTTCAACGTGCAAGTATACTCAGCCAATCCCACCAAAAATCAAAGTGCTTAACAACCACAAGAATCATAGCGGACGTTTACAGCGTGAAGCGGTGCCGGCGGCGAGCGCAAAGAATAAGCGACTGCCTTATTACTGTCGGTACACTTCTTTGTGCGCACCGCCTGCTGCTTCACTGCCGGCACATGCACACACAGCACATATACACGCTGCATGCTCGACAGCGTGGAAACTTTCGCCGGGAACGGTGATGTATGCATATGCATCAGCTGATTTGCATATGAGGCGAGTGCTCGTGCTCGGCAGAAAACAGCGTATTTTTGCAGGAGGTTCACCGCAAGCTGTGTGCCGGATCACGTTTGTTTGCGTGTGTTTCTTGTTTTTTCAGGTTGGTGTTGTTATCCCTTCCAGCAACAAGGTTTGAACGCTATTTTTCTGAACGGAATTCAATGAGACGAAGGTTTTTAGACGGGCGCGATAGAGAGCTACTTCTACCGCTGGAGTGTCTGTGTGGGTCCCCCCCCCCCTGGTAGCCTATGTTTCCGAAAATCGATCCCGATACTTTCGGACAAATGCAAAACAATTGTTGGTGTCGTCGATGATGTAGAAAGGAACTCTACAGTGGGAGTTAACAGAAAATAAATCGTCGTGTGAGCAGCCGCTCTCTGTCTGCCGTCTTTCGCGGCTGGGTAATGAGTCACACCACCGGCAATAGAGTGACAGCATCGAAGAATCATCAATCGTGCCGTGGCCTACGAACGATGCCACAACCGTCTACCGCGTGGTCACCTCCCTCTCCGAACCGATCTCCGACAGGGCATCTACAGTAAGTGGATCTAGATGACGGTATGTTTTTGATGCATGGCATACAACACCCTTCTTCCTTTCAGAAAATAACATAGAAGCACAGAACAACGAGGACAGACAACAAAGCCGGCATGCCAGGTAACCATTACCACCCTAAACGCCAACCTTCACCGGGGTTGCCGCTTGCGTGTCATGTCGTACACTGTTACTCTCTGCACGTGTCTTCGAAGGTGCACAAGGAAGCTCCGGCAGAAACGACCCACCTTTCGCAGTTTGTGGGGGCGGGCGCGGTTGTACGCGGGGCGAAGCTAGATCCTGTGATGATCCGTTCCGATTGGCGCCACCCCTCTCTTTGTGTAGTTCCACCCTCTATTTATTATTCCTGGATGCCTGAATGGGATCGAGCCTCTCCTTGGGGGATGCTCTGCAAGGATTGGCACGGGCAGGGAATGCTTCGAACCGATAACCGGCTGGAGGCGTTACATATTCTCAAAATATAATTTACCGCCGTTTTTTTCTCAGCGCCGGTTAACCGAAGGAAACACCTCCTCCGCAATGGTATTTTTGTGACTTTTGTGGCAACACACTCCTCGTTCAACATCCCAGTCGGTGTTCTGCTAGTGCTTGGCGTGGTATTTCACTCACACGGTGTATATCGTAGTAGTCACAGGTAGAGATGGGCACCGGAAGGGAAAAGCAAGAATACAATGCAATAACCGGCTCGGAGTGTCGGCGGACAGTGTAAGCGGATATGAGAGGAATGATACCTTCTGGAGGTGCGGGGAGATGTACTGTAACTCCCCCCGAAAGGATAAAACAGGGGACAGGATCGATGTACAGTAGTAGTAGCCCTTGCTTGAGCAACATCCGTCCCCCCACTCATTGTTGTCAGTCCTCTACCGATACATATCGATACTCAAGGCAACAGCAACAGCTAGCTGCTGTTCCGCACGAGTAAATAACATGTAAATGCTTCTTTCACGGGTCTTCCAGATAATTTTTTTCCACCCGTGCGTATCCTTACTGATTTCTTTCGTGAATGGATGGGAACACCCTCTCGAAAAGACAATTTTGGGTGCGATCGACCCTGACGAGCCCTCTACCGTCGATCTCGTTCTTTCCATTCCTGATTACATTCAGCAAGTGACACGGAAGTTGGACGGCGGAGCCGCTTGGCCGGAAGATTTTCAGCTGCTGTTGCGTCACCTTGCGCAGCAATTCGACGTCGGAGACCGTCAAGAAAGGGGCTACACATACATACAGTACAACAATATTCGTGTATGCATAGCCGATGAGACTTCTTTCACGGATTACGTTCGTGCTTTCCGTTTGCTGGTCTCGTCTGTGACTGGATCTGAATGTACACTGGTCCTGGTGTACCCAGGTTCTAGAAATATTAATATTGCGACATTCGGTGTGCAAGCAGTTTCCGAGTCTGTCTCCACTTGTGTACTCGGGTGCTCTGGCCACAGCGGCCTCTCCTTTTTTGTCGATTGCAGCTATGTGGCAGGCGTTCGCGCCTTCGGTGACTAATACAACCCCCGCTACGGTGGTTCGCCTCATTATTCGTTGTCTTCGACACGTGGTTCCTCGCAGCCTCGGCGGTCTGACCACCGCGCTCGGCGCCTTCGGGCCAGTGGGCATCTGGTTCTGCACAGAATCATGTAGTTTTGCCGGTACAATTCCAAGATGCTGGCCCTTTCGCGCATACTTACAACTCTTGGCCTGCCTCTCACGCCGATTGGTCTGATGTACACGCCCACTTGCCCCAGTTCTAACTAGTTTTCGTAAAAATCACTGACGACCCTTTGTTGTGGACTCCTTTGGTGACGCAAGAGGCTCGATCGCAAGCCTTTTCCGCGAAAACAAGAATCGCTGTCTGAACTGCTCGGAACACCATTCCATGACGCAATGCGCTTCGACATTCACGAGTTCGTCTATGCACATGTAGAGTATTATTGAATCCTGAGTTGGGTAGTCTCAACGACGCTTCTGCTGTTTTTCGGCGTTGGCAGAGGGCAGCAAGAGGTCTTTCCGCCGAAAAAGTTCGGACAGGGGCAATCACGTTGGAATCGCCGTTCCGACGGTGGTACAGTAGTTCCCGTCGCAATCACCCGCCACAGTCTCACCACAGTGGCAACACCCCGCGAAAAATTGAGGGTAACCATAGTACGACCCAACAGACGTTTGGCAACCCCCACCACACTTTATGCTCTGTCCGTCTATCAACCCCAATCACATGCTCACACAGGTCATTCGTCTGGCATCATGGTTTCGACAAATCGCAATGCTCGCCAGCCTGGTCATTTCCAGAACGGTGGCCGTTCCTACCACGGATGACTCATCGACGGTGGTTCGCCTCCTTCCCTCGGACCGCTTCCAGCATCTTCGGGGACCTCATTTCGTTCATCACAAGACGCGTGCGTCACGCCCTGTTGCGTTTAACACTTCGGTTTGTAGACAACACCAATACTTCGGTCCTGTTGTTCCTTCAAACTCTGTTGCATCTAGAAATTCTGTCCTACGTAGCGATGACGATACTTTGGTAAATGTCACCCCTACACACTCTGCTGCCTCAAACACTCCGGTGCCATGCAATAACAACCGTACTCCGGTGCATGTTGTTTCTTCAAGTGTAGGTCAGGTCGGTATCCAGCCAAATACTCCCATCCCACCTTCACCATCACACTGATCATTTGCAACCTCTGCCCCCTCGCCTCTTCGGATTGATGCTCCGTCGGAGCTTTTCCAGTCTGGTGTGAGTACTGTCTTGAGGTGCGGGAACAGAACCGTAGGACCTTCGAGGGCATTGAGTACTGCTCGCTTGTCGGGCACCGCTCGTTCGCTCCCCCAGTCGTTTGCAGATAAGACCGGCCGAGGCCAAACGCTTTGGACGATCGATGAGGAACTGCCTGAATTGGTTACCTCGGGTGAATCTTCGGACCCGCTCGATTCGTTTGTGCTCGCTTCCGTTGAGGGTCCGCCCTCGACCGTTGCACCGGTAGCGAACTTGACTTGGTCCGACCGGCAAGCATTAGAGTCAAACTCGCCTGGCGCCGAATCGCCTTGTTCCCCTGGTTCCGACCATCGAACGTCATCAGAGTCCGCCACGCACGGCATTTCGACCATGGGTCGTCTTTACATGTCCCATCTCCTCCGATGCACGCTCGCACGGAAGCGCCTTATATCAGGCAGCTGCGACCGGCGTCGACAGTGTAGACACCACCGCGTCGGGAGGACCCGCCCGGAGCGAACAGTCGGCGGTCTCGCGTACCTTGTCACGAGGGAATGGCCAGGAGCACCGCGCTCGGCTCAGTTCTGTCACTGACCCGGTCTTAGAGGCCGTTCCCAGCGAAAGCGGCCTGTTGCAGGACGCCTGACGGGGCGGTTCTTCAGGTTTAGAATTGAGGCGCACCCAGCACTATGTTACTGGCCCAATTATTGCGGACATTTCGACTCCGGTCGATTCTTCGGCGGTCCCCGCCGTTGCCGGGATCATTCCCACGGATGTCCATACCGTCAATCGAAACACGTACGTTTTTCTCACCACAGCTTCTGCTTCGACCCCAGCTTTGGCTGACAGCACTCGGGGCGCACCGACCCCTGCAGCTCCAGCTGTTTTCGACCCGTCTACCGAGTACTCCTGACATGGTCTTCTTTCGGAAGCCCCCCTCTCTTTTCCCCAATGGACACCCTGGACTGTTATGGTTGAGGCATTGTTTACTGTTGTGCTGATCAGTTTTTCGCCGTGGAAAAAGCCTTTCTTTTCGAAGACCACCGCAAAGCATCATGCACGCGTTCGATCTTGCCTTACGCAAGACGTTTGGCCGTGGGGTCCGTGGTTTCGACCAACCTCTTCGGGGACGAGAACGCGAAATTGTTGTGCCACTGGCTCTCACGCAAAATTTAGTCAAAAATCCGAGTTACAAGTTCATCTTGTCGGATCTGTGACAAAACCCTTTTCAAAGCCAGTCCCTCCGACGGTATGTTGGCCTCCAACGAGTGCGTAGTCGGTTAAGACAGAACGCCCCTCCCGAGCGCAGCTCTCGTTTTCTGCCTTCTAGCGATCAGGTTCCGACGCCATCGCTCCGTAGCGCGGTGTATGAGGTTAACCCTTCCACGGCACCGGGAGCTTACCCCACACTCGGGAAAACTATGACGCTGTTCTGGCGCCAACCGCTCGAGGAGAACAGGCGAAGGTGACGAAGGGGAAATACGGCGGAACCAGGATCCTCTTGGTCGCTCTGCTACGCGTAGGTCGCTCGTGTGAGCTATACACGAAGGGGTCAGCAAATCAATCCCACCTATCGGAAGAGGACACGGAACCCAGTTGCCCGAAGCAGCGGAGGAATCTTGAGCCGCAGTTTGAAGACCGCCGCTTTACCTGTGGCGCTACACAGCGCTAAGAGGCAATTGGAGACGGGGAGGCGAAGCTGTACCCAAAATGTCTCCTGGTTCGAGAGACAAGATGCCCGCGAGCGGGATTTGTTGACAACTTTTTAATCGAAATGTTCCGCTGAAGAAAACATAGCACACTGTGGAAGCATATCCGCTAAGTTATTACCGACGAGGGCTGGAGAGCCATCGCTGCGCACCAAAATCAACCTGAACGAGACTATGCTGTGGGTGGAGTTGGACGGAATGTTTCCCTGCATAGCGAAGTTGATAACTTCCATCTGTGGCAGGCAGATCGTGGGCAAATGCAGTGGCGCCATAGCTGTCATCTTGAGCGAATGTAAGCTCACCAAAAACACGGTCACCAGGGCGTTTCGCACGGAACTCCCCAACATGGCTACGTGCATTCTGTCTCTGACCGCCCTCCATGGGAAGCAGGTGAAGTTATTCTTTACCCATTCTATGAAACCAGCCGTTCTCGTTTTGTTGTCTAAGTTGGTCAACCCTCCTGTTTTGGTTTCGCCGGATTGGGATGTCATTTCGGACGGCTCGCGACCTTTCGTCCTTTACTGTGATGCTATTAGTCGCGAAGGGTTCGGTGGGACTCTCGAACAAGAACAGCCGAATGGGCCCATCCGTTCCATCGTCTTCACCAGCCTGGCTACGTTGGACCCCGAACGTCATTGGACCCCATTTGATCTTGAGGCGGGTAGGATCATACGGTGTATCAAACGAAATCGCGTCTACATGTGGGGTACGAAATATCGTGTTTTCATCGACCACAATCTCTCGGTCATTTTGCCAAGGTGGGGGAGAACAATGTCCCCGTGTTCAACGTTGGCAAGAATTCCTTACCGCCTACAAATACACTCCCGGTTTTGCAAGGGTCCCGCACATGGGAACTTCCTCTCTCGCCTTCCGATCGACGCGGCCGAATGTGACCGATCTGGTCGCAGCCGCTTGACCTTGACTGAGTATGAGGAGACCGCGTTTTTCATCTGGTCTTGTGGCCTGACACTTTCCGGCCATCGGGCCGCGGGTGTTGGCTTGGCTGGGCTTGTCCCGACCTCCCCGACTTCGGTCTTGGGTGGGCTTGCCTCCTCTACGGCCGACTCTGTCGATTTCCGTCGGCACGGTCAGGGTCTCCCACCGTGAGGCCTTTCGTCTTCGTCTGGCGTCTGAAACATCGTTCCTTGGCCGCCCACGACGCTTGGCGTTTCGTCTTCTTCGAGAATGCGCAATCGGCCTCCCATCGTTTGGTCCGGCTCTCTAGAACTCGCGTCTCCGTCGACTGTCCCACCGGCTGCCACACCACGTCGAACCCTCGATCGTACCCAGGTGATATCCACGCGGACTCGTCGCCGCACGGCGGTTGTGTCAGGCAGGCCACTCCCGCTTGTTGATTAGGGTTGATCTAATGACCCGTCTTCCGTGCCTCCCACACGGATTTTCGCTTCGCCACGACCGTCTCGACGGTCTCCGACGGTGCTCTCGGCACCGTCAACGACACCAGTGTTGTCTAGTTCGTTTTCGGTTACTTGTGCTGTTGGTTCATCCCAAATTCCTCCACGCCTCTGGCCCATGGATGAGATTCTGCATCTCCGACGCATACTGCACCTTCAGTTGCTCCTGCTCTGCAGTCTTCGCAGCCGCCGGCTCTTCGGAGTCTCCACCTAGTGTGGTTTCGACCGCTCGCGCGAATTCGCCTTCGGTCTCCACTGCTGCGCTACTTTCTGGAGGGTTGCAGTCGACCCCTCAAGAGCCAGACCCCTCTTCCATCCAGGCGGCTTTGCATTCTTCGGCGGACCTGGACTTCTGGGCGTCTGTCGAACGTTTCTTGCATGCTAATCGGACTGGCGAGCAACAGAACGATCCTGTGTGGGATGTAGCAATTCGTTTTTATCCTTCTGGGTCGGCCTGCGGCCCTCCCTTCGGATCTCATGGGTCATGTTCCGTCCTGGACCTTCTCTGTTGGAGACTCGTGGCCTGTCTAACAAAGGCCGGTTACATGTTGACGATGATGGTTTGGTCTTGCTTGTTCGCAAGCCAACAGCACCCCCGTCTCCTACATGCTGCAGGAAGTAAAGCGTGCCACGTTTTCGTGCATCAAGATCCTGTTGGTGGAACCGCGCAACCGAAGAATGGATGATGATGATTATCAATCATCATCTAGACCTCCTCGCGCTTCGCATCTTTCCGTATTGGGCACACTGGCCGGCACCACACCGACCGGAGAAATGCCCCACGCGTGTAGCGTCTTGCCTTCACCATCCCCTTCCTCCTACACGTGATTGACCCATTGTTTTTTTTTCTTCAGGAAAGATTCAACCGTCGTCCCTTTCCCTTTTTCGAATGTGAAAGGTGTCGAGGTATGGTTTGCACTTTGGTTCGAGACATGTTTACCCATAAGAATTTCTTTTTCTTAGCGTTACGCCTGGGAAAACTACACGAGTGATCTCTGTGTGCCTACAGTACATATGCCGGACATACCCGTCTTGGGCACGAAGGCAAACGAACTACTTGAGACATCCGACAACCCGCCATCCAGGGGCCCAAACAATCGACACCGTGCATGTACAGAAGTTCTTCTGTGAAACTCTGCCGACGAAAGAAGACTAAAAGGCTGAACTTGACTACTGCTACTGGCTACGACACATCCCTACGACAACACCGTTGACACCCCTCTACGACATTCAATTCATTCTCAAACACAACGACGAGGGTCGATGTCGCCGACGCCCCCAAAAAACAGCGGGCACCTACTCAAGGCCATGGGCCAGAACAACGCGGGTTTGCTACGTTCACTTTCTTTGGGCGAAATTCTTGCTCAAAAATCCAAACCAAAACACAGACCCAAAAACGAAAGGAGCAGGGGACCATGCCATGGCGACCAACACAAGAAGACCGGAGAGTAAATGATTACGGGGAGGGAAAACAACTTCTACGGTACCCAAAATCCAACAGTTTTCTGCATATATACATACTATGGCGGCACGCGTATATACATACTATGGCGGCACGCGTACTAGGCGGGTCTCCCTACTTCTAAGAGTGTGATCGTGTCCAGCATTTCGATATTGTACTTCGACACGGAAGGAATTGGACACAACACGGCTCACGGTACGCAAGGAAATTTCTACTCGTTTGGTTTCGTTCAATGGGTGGGAGGTTCTTAAGTCGAAAATACGTCAAGGGGACTCCACAACTCAAGCGCTGAACACAGATGAGCCACAGGCTTTGCCTAGCTGTACGCGGGCCCTTCCCGCAGAGTGGGTGCTCCTGTATTACCTCACGGGTTCAACGCTCGTCCCCCCCTCCAACTATTCTCGTACGTACATGCAGCTGCCCGCACACACACTCATTAGCATGTACTCTTGATACACATCTGGAACCATCATCAGTTCGCGCCTTTCTTTGCTGCGAACGGAAGCTATTTACGTCCCCCCGCCCGCTCATCAGTGGTGGTCGTAGTCGTGCCGTTCTTTCAGCGGTATTTCCTGAGGCAGTTCGGAGTGTCGTACTGCGACGCCCCCGTTTCTTCATTGTACCAGTATCTGCGGCCCTTCTCGGTGCGAAGCTGTTGCCACTGCTCAGATTCCTTCTTCTTTTTCTGGCCGGCGCCGCCGGCCTTACCTCCGTTGTCCTTATGGGGAGAAGGCTCCCGCGGCTGGGAGGAAGACACCGAGGGCTGAGAGGAAGGCGCCGGGGGCGGCGGCGGGGGGGGTTTCTGAGCGCCGTTCGTGTCGGGCTTGTCCCAAGTTCTGTCCCCGGATATTTCGTTGTACCAGTAGGGCTTCTTCTCATCTCCGTCCGTTTGGTACTCCGTCCACCCTCCGGCCAGAGCCTGTTATTCAAAATTATCATGGAGGATAAATTATAATCCCGTGCGAAACATATGATCCCTCTGAGTCAGTTCTGAGCAGATTGAAACCTCCATCTGCTCCGAGTGATCTCTATGGACTGCTACCTGTTTCCATGCTAAAACAAACGCATGCATTCCATATATTTTCCTCAAGAATAAGTGTCGATTGCAGATAAATTGGTCGCCGACAGGATCTGTTGGTCTGTAGACGGTTCAAGTCGAAAGCGCAACGTTCAGCGGATACATTCCAGAGTCAATAAATACCGGTGGAGTTCGTCTTTGTTTCGTTGTTTGACGTTCTTTGTCGATGTCGTCGGCGCGATCAATACCATCGTTGTTGCTAGAAATGTACCCAGTCAGGTTTGGCATGCATGCTGTAGACAAAACTCGTGTGCGGAACAATTGGGACCTTGGCATTCCACCACCCACTGCCGTGTGCTCCTCCTTTCTCCTACCCCTCTCCCGCTCGCTCAACCCCAACCTCGAAACTCACCCAAACACACACGCACCTGTTTCCACTGCTTTTCCGCTTCTAGGGGCGAAGCTGGGTTGAACTGGGTGCTGGCGGGAACGTTGACGCCTGGGCCGCCCACAATAGGTGATAGCCCCACCTGCATCTGCGGCGGAAAGCGCCCGTACACCCTTCCTCTAGTTGTCTTGTTGAACCTGGTGAGAGCGCACCGGAGGAAGGGGTTATTGCGCAGAAAAGACGCGTAATCCAAGGAAGAGGTAAGAGTGGTGGCAGAGAGGCACCGATGGTATCAAGCGCACATTCCCTGAACCGTTAATATCTCAAAAGCACGTAGATATTTCGGGTTTCCGGAAGCAGACAGGTATTTATCGCTGAGCGAGGCAGATGATCGCTACTTCAAGTTATTTGCATGCAATCATCGTGCTGAGGTACAGCTACAGCAGTATCCGTTCGATATCTTATGGGCGGTCGCTGCAAATAAATACTTCAAAGTACCTGCTCGAAGTACGTGCCAAGCAAACGCGGTTCGGTTGTTGCTCACCAACAGTTGACACCGTGTTCATCATAGCCGGGTGTCCACTCCTGAGGGTTGAAGCTCGCCATACTCTTCTTGTTGTGCGGTTTGTCCGTTCCGGGTCACCTGTTTTTTGTTCAATATGGGGTTCGACTTTCATTATATGATGCGGTGCAACAACCCAAGACACGCTTTGAAGTTTTGGTCACACGCCACACGCCACGAGGAAACTTACCACCACCTACTGCAACAAGTACTACATACAGGAACAGAGCCTAAGATGGCTACTGCTGTCTTCGCATCACATCCCTTTCGCACAAGTCGAGCAGTAGTCATCCTCGGCAGTTTTCGCCCGACCAGGCCAATCTCGCTGCACGTGATGGACTGGAGGCGTTGGAAGGGCGCTTCCTTCATACTTAGACTAAACCATGTATCGAATTCAAGGCGAAATGATCAGAGGCAACACATGTCGACGTACCCGGCACAGCACTACTGTACAACGCGAAAAAATCGCAGACACACAGCAACGGAGCGGGTCAATTCCCGTTCTTTCGCGCCGTTTGGAGAGCTGGTGGTTTCTTTCTTTCTTAGACTTACGGTAAGCAACCCGTCCTTCAACAAAAGAGAACGAATACGAAAGGAAAGCAGCAGCCAGTCTGCTGCTTTCACCGGGTGGCACGGGTGATTGCGAAGGGGACAAGCGGCGTGGTGATGCGTTTCGCCTTCGGCCCCTCTGTCCGCGGAGTGGTGCACTTTGCATCTCTGAACCCTCTGCCCCTTCGTCAACAGACAATCAAGTTGAAGACAGGACTCACTGCTGCTGCTGCTGCTGCTGCTGCTGCTGCTGCTGCTGCTGCTGCTGCTGCTGTCTCAGCTGCGGGCTGGCTGCTGCTGGGACGTCGGTCTGATCACCTCGAGAATAGCGGCAGCTGAAGCAAAAGGAAGTTGGTGGTGCTGTGAAGACCAGTTCGCGCCTGCGTGTGGGTGCCAGGGGAAGTGTGAGTGGGCGGGTTGCGTCACGGGGTTGCCATGCGGTGCGGGGAGACAGAATCGTTCTCACGTTCGGGCGTTCTCACTTTTTGGGGACCGGTTATTTTCTTGGTGGTATGTAGAACCCCGAGAACGGTCTGGGTAGAACGGCTTAAATTTGTCGGAAGGTTCTTTGGGCCGGTGTTTGGGTTCCTTGGGTGTAGTTCTCGGAACGTTCTGTGGCCCGGTTCCACGGCCCCACTCCTGCCTGTTGGCACGATCGCTGCCATAGGGTACACTTCCAGTGCACAACAACAGCAGTTGGAGTTACAAATAAAAAAACACGTGCCGCAACAAGCACTGCTGGGGTACAACACTCCCAGGCTCGCTTCCGTGATCCCTCTCAGCACACCCGCCATCCCTCTTCGATCAGTCTATCGGGGCACGAGGCAAGAAGCAGCACCCGCGCCATCAGGTAAGAGATGTGACACCAGTCGCGCTGGGGTGTGACATAAAAGGGCAGCAACTACTACACTGCTTCGTCGCGAAATTGCGTACTGTAGACTGTTCGCGTCCTCGCATGGTGCTGCTTCCGCATGCTATCTCCGATGGCACGTACGTTGTAGACTAGACTTAAGCAGTAATGCAGTAGTCTACTGTAGAGCACAGCAACCAACCGTGGACAGCCAAGTGCAACGTTCCCGGTGGTGGTGAGGGCCGTGACGCTGCGAGATTGAGCACCTTCGAGTTACGCATGTCCGCAGACCATCACCGTCTGTTTAGAGGAAGATGGGAAGGTGCATCCGTTTGTGTGTTGTTCAAGCACGGCGACAAAAGAGGCATCGATGAGAACACACACACGTGGCATTAAACGCCAGCACAGCAATAAGTCTCCACAGCAGTACGATTGTACATGTAGAATCGATCCCTTTGAACCAATACCGCGAATCCAAAGATTTTTCGGGTTTGAACAAGTTGGTTTGAACCTGCAAATTTCAAACAGCTACATAGTCTATACACACGAGGGATATTTAAGATACCAATGCGAGGACTCAGATGTGTGCACTCTGTAAGAGTTTCAGGCACCAGCAAACATTGGACTCGTAGTTATGGCCCGGGTTACGTGTTTGTGTCCGACCGCATTATTATTGTTGCGGAAGGGTCTCCTTTCGATCAATTAAAACTTGCTTTTCAGGCCTTCGCTGGTAGACAATGGTAGGTGCGAATTCGCGGAGGGACTACACATCTGTACGGATTGCTGCTGATGGATATTATTTTAGGCCACCTCGTCTGTCTACAGAACGGTTTACGGTTCACGGTCAATTTTCAGTCCAGGCGCACCTCCGCCGACGAATGAAAATAAATGTATATAGCTCTGGGCTGCATGTCGGCATCAGCAGCAGCAGAGTGACTCGAAAGGAACATGCTCTCGTCGAAGAACGCTCTGCTACCTTGCATCAAGATGCAACATAGGGGTCATTACTGAAAGGCCCGAAACAGCAGATTGGACCCTTGTTGCAAACAGCAGTGTCCATGTGTCCATATCTATACTGTAGTAGGCGGATACCTGCTTGCTTCTTGTCTACATCCGTAAATAAATATATCTATCTCGGTATACCGCACGCGGAAGTCTCATGTGAAGCTACGCTTTCAGGCGCAGCCTTATGTTTGACTTAGGTCACTCACGCGGAGAACATGAAGACAATTGCGTTAGAATGATCGTGCCCCTACCCTTAGCTGCAGGTCAACACCAGTTCGGATGCCGAAATGATCTCGTGAAAAGAAGCAGTCCGAAATAACCACACATCGCCCCCCTTCACGCGTCCCATTCTGTACCTTACGCTTCCCTTCCCCTGCTTATCTTCGTATGTATCCTTATTTTCCTCTTATGTATCGCGTGTGTGTGGTGTGGGCCATTTGCCTTGTTACGGCTGAAAGTTACGGCGAGGATGGCGGCATTCAACCCAACATGGACTCCTGGGTACGACCAATCCGGTCGTTTTTGTTGGTGAGCGAAAACGTTGAGCCGGCCTGAGTCAGCGGGGTATCTGGCTTTCCCGGGGGGATTGGTCTGATTGCTGGTTCCTGTACGTGTTGAAAAATGGTTTCTCTGGGAAACAACGCCGTCCCTAGAAGAAAATATGCAACCTCTCGGGTAGGGAATTGGGAACGTTATTACTTGTTTTCTAGAACCGGCATTCCGCGCCGAACGACTGTATAAGCGGGAACTCCTCCTCAAAGAAGCCTTAGGGCGAGCAAGCCGTCGCCAACCGTCGCGTGTTCGATGCAGAAGCGGGATGGACTTTCTTGCAGAGAGTCCCAAGACCCGCCGCTAGCGTGCCCTACGGCCTCGTTCTTCCTAAAACGTGCTACTGCGGGAGAAATCGTGCAGACCTATCCGATGTGTGTATAGATTGTCCAGATTATCACCCGGCGGCCCTCGCATTAATCAAAATATGCCTTCTTTCGATCACGTGGCATCCACACGAGACCCAGCATCGGACGGTAGCATCCCGGCGATGTTTCAACGTTTTCTGGGGTCCACTGGCCGCCCAGTCCCGCCTGTCGGTACTAACCGCACGCCATTTATAGACACCGACAAGGCGGCCCCACCGAACCAACCAACACCCGCTTTCCAAAATGGAGGCCGATAGCCCCACAACACTTCAGGGTACCACAGCCGCGAAAGAGTAATCTTGCGGTGGTATGTCGCCTTTCGAGCACGGCTGGGCGACACGGATTTGGTTGCTTCGACGGCAATGGCTTTATATATTCCAGTAGGTGATGCGTGGATTCTGCAAGAGCTTGTTATTTAGCCCGCCTCTCGCCTACGCCGTCTTCGCAGGTACAACAAGGCCACCGGCAGAGTGCACCACCCGTCTCCGCTTGACTCCGTCGATCGGTGTCAAGAGCAGCAGCAGCAGCAGCAGCGGCGGCGGCGGCAGGGGCAAGGGCTGTCCATAGCGCCCGATGAAGATGTCGGTCTCCTTTGCGACGTCGCACACCCGAACGTGCCGACGGGGTCGTACTTCAGCCTACCAGCCGCCGAGGTGGCCGAACGCGAAGAAGCGGGCGCCTTCACGCAGCGAGTAAGTGTGGGGTGTGGTGCATCGTCCATGCAAGTCGAACCGCAGGTAGATGCAGCCACCCTGCTTTGCATAACATTAACTCAACATAATCGGTTGCGTTGTGGGTTGGGTGAGGCTGCTCGTTGCTGAGCCCTTGAAGGCGGCCCACGAGCTGGCTGAAGAGATATTCACGAGGCAGAAGCATTTGTGGAAAACGGCATGCATGCGTGGAGTGGCCTTTAGTACGTTCTCTGAGGTACCTTGTGGCCTTCTGTGGATGATGTTTCGGAGGAGAGTTGACCTCACGATAACTCTTCACAAAATTGGTTGCTATATGGGAGACCAAGCGGAGAGGTATTGCTTGTATCACTTTTTTCTGAAGGCCTCAACACTAAGTTTCCCCCCCAAATTCGTCTTCGCGCTACCCACGGCCTCTTTTTGCTTTTGCCACTGTTTCGATCGCAGGAGAAGCGAGGCTTCGCGTGGGACCGAGGTACCCGGGACGAAACCTCCACTCAGCCCCCAACCTGCCGGATGTACAAGCCCTTTGCGGACCACAACAAGCCTATCGCGCTGGAGTCAACGAAGCCACGTCGCCCTCAGCCGGCATACAAACCGAGTCAGCGCGCTTGGGCCAAGCCCGTTTCGGAAACGCCGGTGCCCCGTGGCGGGCCAGGGTTTGACATGTCGATGCCCCCACCGCTGCCGAGGCCTGCTCGCGGCAGGCCCCCCTTGTCCCAGCGAGGGGGCAGGAGGATGCCGGCGCCACCGGCGTTCCCGGAAACGCACCACCGTTGCCGGGCGGGGAACGCTCGGGTGAAATCGCCGCATCGACAGGCGGTCGGCCTTCGGGGAGAGTTTCACATGTCCATCTAGCACGAGCACGTACGGGCAACGGCGTGATGACATTTTCCGGACCTGCCGCGGTGTGTAGATAGCTGGGTAAGGTCGTTGAATTTTTTCGGGTGGATTGATTATTTGCAAAACCGACGAAATCAGTCGCCCGTGCGAGGGAACCGCTCGCTGTACAGTTACCCGGGGGACGTATCCGTCCCCTGGTATACGTTTATCGTGATTACCACTATTGTTGTGTAGGGTGACCGACAGCCCTCAGTTCGAATATATTACAGTAGATACGGTGCAGAAGGGAGTTGGATGGCTCAGGGAGAGGTACCTCTCATATACGTAATGTGCGACAACACTGGCTCCACCAGAGTTGCTCAAGGGGTGGAACCGGACGGGGTGTAGAGAGTAAATGGCGGAAGCAAAACAACGAGACGGAGATAGATGAACACCTGGTAGATCTAACTCCGTCTCGTTGTTTATTATTGGGATCGGAACTCCGCGTTACGCGTGTGCCTGCTATGAATCGGATGTTGGACTCCACCGAACCCCCCTCATTGGTTGCTGCTGCCTTTAGCCTTTAGGCTACTTCCAAGGGCTTGTTTTTCTTCTCCACAGTGACACCACTCGTCGCCGGGTGTCAACGCACGCGTGATGTGTTCGTTGACGTACTCTTGAGCTATTCGTTGTAAGCTGCCGTAGGGATGCGCGGTTGTGTGGTGTTGTAAGTATGGTTTGCTCATGTGTGTTACGGTGGAGAATAGATATTAAACTTGCACTAGAAAATATGAAAGGCTGCTGGCGGGGTTTAGATTCGAAGAACCAATAGGGTGTCGAGCTCAACTACCGAATGAGGTTATTGAATCCACAACGCCGCCGACGAGAATCAACGCGGTTTTCTTTCCATCTGGGGGCGTTGCCACTCGAGCACCGTACCGCCAGCCAAAGGACGACCACAGATAGATATGTTGGACTCGCAGGTGTAAGTAAAGTCCACCGGCGGAAAATGGAGCAGCTGCATCGAGCAGCTCGGAACCTCACGGGCTACATACGATACTTGGCAATCACGCGCCCACGAAAATGAATCAAGAGCCACATGTCGCTCCATTCCGCCGCGGCCGTGATTCCAGCTTGCAGTCGACCCGTTGGTCGTCAGTGGCATAGACGCCCTTTCGAGCTGCAGCCCGGAGCTTGGGGGGGACGTGACTCAACCACCCCACTCGGGGCGAAAACGCTCACAGGAAAAAAATATAAAAAATTAATTCTACATCTCGTCTTCCCCAAGGACTAGCCCCATTCTCGCGGGCTACAGTACGTATGTCAACATGTCAACGTCTAGATCATGTCTGGAGCAAAAACATGAAGGCACCACCAACGCTAAGCCGAACTCTCACCCTTTTGAAATGTCGACAACACGGGCATGTATGCATACGCTGTCTGTCGTGACATGGATGGACGACGGAAAAAACGATGTATTATGTACCGATGTTGTCCACAATGGGGTGTGAGCAAGGAAATAATTCTACAAGTCTATAGTACCACGACGTTCCGAAAAAGAAGCTGAACACAACAACGTCGATGGGTACAGAAAAATGAGTACTATGTGTGCCCCTTCCTTTTGTCACACGGAGGTGGCGTGAAGAGAAAATCGCCCAGCAAAAGAACGGTGCAAGATGGCTGGAGTCCATCACCAGTGCTACATCCGCAGTCAACAAGCCAAACCCACGATATCCCTGCCATTTTCACACACGAGCACCTCCGGCAAGCCTTCTTGCTGTCTCCACAGCAAACATCACCGTTCGCACCAAAGGCTACCAAATCGTCCCCCTAACCCCGATGAATAAACGAATAAATAATCCTGGAGGGACAAAGGCGTTCTTTCCCACGACGACGAAACAAGAAAAAATGGCAACAGTAGCAGACCGGCCATGAACAGGAACCACAAACTCTGCCCTTCTTGCTGCAGTAAATCACGGACGGGTCTCGTCTAATGTAGACAAGGGGCCGTCCCCCGCATCTTCAAGCCTAAGGTTCATGCATTCTGAGGGGGCAGTGGGCTCCGCTTCTAAATCAGCAGCCAATCATGGGCCGCGTAGTGGAGAAAAAACATAAAATGTGATGATGACGAACGTAGCTGTGCGCGGTGTGAGCGGCCAAGCAGACGGGCAGTTGCTGCAACCGGCACGTGTTCGCTTTTTCACCACTCCTGGCTTGCCGTCGCATCCCCCTCCGCCCCGCTCTGCGAGGTCCCCTCCGCCATGATCAGGAAGTTCTCCTTGTCTACACGAACCCCCTTCTCGACGCTATCGAAGAGCCAAGGTAGGCGGACCTATGCACGGCGGGGGGTGAACGATAGTTACATGCGGCATACAGGGCGGCTACATGCGGCATACAGGGCGCGAGAGTGAACGATACAGCTACACGCTGTTGCTCGGAGGCATCCAATCATTTGACCAGTCCATCCCCCCTCATAGACCAGGGATGTTCAGCTGGGGGGCACAAAATACCATGGATTTGCGGTATACCAGCACGGTGGGTTGCATTGCAGGGTTCGCAACCGAACGCTTCTGCTCAATCCGTAGTTTTCCTTTTTTTCTGGCTTGAGTCTCTCAACTCCCAGGTTCTCAGACGGGGGAAACAACAGCACAACGAAAACCAACGTGGGAAAAAAACACGAAAACAACAGCAGCGAGTGTGCGACGAGGTGAAAAAACTCTTTCAGTTCAAGGTTTTTCCTCACCACTCCCAACTTTTCCGCCAGCCCCTTGAGCGCGCTCTCCTCCTCCTCCCCCCACCCGCCGGGACCCGCCGCGGCGCTACCCTTCCCCTTCCCCAGGACGCCCCGCCTGCCTCCCGCCGCCCCCCTCGATGCGTTGCGGGAAGACGCCGTGCTCGCGCCCAGTCCACGACGACCGGTGCCGATGCTGTTGCCGCCAGGCCGAGCGCTGATCTTGGAGACCCCACGACTGCCGCTGCCGCCTCCGCCTCCGCCGCTAGCCTCCGGTTTCTTCTGTTGTTCCACCCACGCCTGTGTAGGACAGAGTGTTCGTGGGTTCGTTTCGTGTGTTGGGAGGAGTAGAGGACACGCCACCACGTACTCGGAATCACCTCTCCTACGTAGTTCATTGGCTTGTTTGTTGATTACATTCCTCTGCGGGATGGTGTAACCCATCACATGGTTCCAGATAGGCCATGGGCGGCAAAGAACAACACCCCACAAACAGCTACCCCGCCTCTCCACCTTCCCATTCATTCGTTGAAGGAAGACACATTTTGATCCCACGAGCTTGTTAAAGTAGGGCCGCGGTTTCCGGCTTGAGCTCCATTTTTTGGGTCTCACCTCCAGAGCGGTTTCCGTCTCCGCCAAGAGCAGCGTGGCGTCGTGGAGACAGTGAGTGATCTGATTGGTCAACACAAAGCAAACATCGAAATGAGCTATCTGGTTGGTCGGGAATACTGTGCGTGGTCTTTTGTCACGCACACGATATACAACAATGACAAAGAACCCGCCTTTTTCGGGGAAAAGTTCACCACCAAAAAGCCAAGACTGCCGAACAACCGACATCTAACGACCGACCACTAGCAACAAGCTTCCCCAAACACATCAAGGCCATCAGAGGTCATTGCCCTCCATCACCAACATTTTACACGCCCAAAACAGCACAAGACTAGACCGTAATACAAACCCAGCACAACACGCGTACATTTTCATACAAACACACCTGCGATTGGAACAAAGATTTTGTGACTTGTCCCGCTGGTTTCAGACGGAATGCGTATGCCTATTTTTTCGATGCCAACCAACCAGCGAGGCCCCGGAACAACGTAAAAGAAAAGTCGAAAATTTAATATAGACAAATCGAAATGGCTTCGTTGGGCCAGAAAAAAGCGTTTTAATCATTGGGTTCGGGATTTTCAGACTGGGAACAGAGCCCGCCCGTATTTTTCTAGCCGGGAAACCCAGAACAGGCTTTGGTCTTAGACCAGCCGCAGCTCTGTGTTTTGATTTTTGATCACGCCTTTTCGAATCTCGTCGTTACGTCAAACGAAACCGACACCCCTACAGTAACCTACACGCACACCGTGGCCCGTCGTATTCGCACCTGGCCGCCCGTGGCCAAAGCCAGGGTTTCCACCACGGAAGGAGGTGGGTCTGCGATTCCCCCCAGCATCACCCGCTCTCCTTGGAGCAAGCTCGACGAGATGGACCTGCTCTCCTTCGTCGCCCCCGCCGCGGTGGCGGACCCCCCCTCCTCAGGACCCTCTACGGAACCCCCTTCAAGGGCGGGGCCCCGGTATCTGCGCGACAGAGATGGGAGAAGGGGGGTGTTTGTATAGTATTGTTTGCGTTGCCCCTGGTTCGATCCGTGGTCGTGGCTCCTGTCTAAATGAATCTCCTTACAACTCCCTGCTGCGAGAGAGGTACCAAAGCAACACACGTGCCCTCGCTCGACTCCAGAAAGAGTCACTGACGCAAATGGTGGGTGCTTGTGTGTGGGCCGTTAATGGCGGCGACCTTGGGGTTTGGATCACGGGTCGCGGAAGCCGAAAGATGGGGCGCGTGGGTGTGCGGGTCGACATCCTGACTGGACCACAATACGACGAGGTAGCCGCACTAGGGGGCACGCGGATGATGAAGCAGGTACTCGGGGGGTTCCGTGACACGATTCAACGGACGGTCAGCAGTACCGGTGGGAACACGCCACTTTGTTGCACCCTTGCATACGGCACACGACTGCTGTCGTACTGTGTACATCCTCAGGAAAACGTAGACAACGTCCCCCCAATATACAACGCAGTACCTCTACACATGCACCTTCTCAGGCTACCGAAGACAACACCCCCCCATACAATGAACTACTTCTACCCACCTCGTGTACGTGGTGGTCCAAATACGAAATGGACACAATTATTCACAAATACACAAATACTTGGTGGGCAAGCGTTTCTTTCCTCTTCGCACCTGTCGGGTCTAAACGCCTCTGAGTCCACGAAGAAACCCTTTTCCAGCGACTCGTACAGCCAGGCCACAGTAACCACCACCGGGGGGCGGCCGTTCGGCGACAGCGGCGCACAGAGCGCGAACAGCACCTGTACTCCCCCATCAAAATCGAAGACACGCCGGCCACGAACAACAACGGCAGCAGCATCAAAAGAAGCGATCAAGCGACAACATCGGCGGCAGAAGCAGCATCAGCAGCACCAGCAGCATCAGCAGCACCACCACCACCTCCAAACGGAGCGATGAAACGACAGGAGGGACGGTCGCGTGGAGCAACGCGGAGTTGTACCTCGTAGTAGAGGACGGCTACCGAACTATCTTGTAGAGACTGTTCCCCGCACGCTCTAGGCTGCTTGGGGAATCGCAGGAACACAGGTATTAATAGTGCTCCGCTACCGCGATGAACTCATCTCCCAAATCATCCTAGACCCTTTCCAATAGATAGAGATGCATTTGTCGGGTTATGGGACGAAAAATACAAAATAAAATAACGGAAAACATGGGCCCACTACGGGTGCGACGAACACACGCCAGCGGGGTGAACATACCTTGAGCGTTCTGCGCGACACGTCCGGGATAACGAGGTGAGTGTAAGCCTCCGCGTCAGACATGCAAACCCCGGAGCCGTGGGGGCGGTGGGTCTTGGACAGGGACCGAACCACGCTGGCTGCCGCCTGAAAAGCCGCGACCGCGACATCACGAAACGGTGACATGAAAAAAGAGAGTGAGGCCACTTACGAAGCTGTCTTTTTGTTGGCTGTCCCTTTTTGCGAAAAGGACCAACCCAAAGAAAGGATACGTATGTACAATTAAGGGCAAAAGGATATGAAAAAGGGATGACCCTCTTCGTACTTCTTTTGCTCATCGAGCCATCGACAAAAAAATAAGAGGGTGAGAGCGACGAAACAAAAAACAGATGGCAAGTATATAACTTGCGATAGATATCCCCCTCCCCCCCACCTAGTGGGTCAGACTCCCTGCGCAGGGTCCCCTGCGTTAAATTTTTTCTCCGGCCAATCTGCCGTTCACTCCGACAAGACGTGCAACCAGGCGGTAGAAAGCAAACGGGCAGCGGGAGCGACCAAAAACAGGAGCCACTGAAACACGAGCCTGTCTTGCACACCCTCACGGACAATTCTGCGTAAGGTTTAGGGTCATCCGCTGCTGCCGTTTCTCTCGTGAGACAACATGAACACACTGCCCATCAATTCAAGAAAAATGTACGTCTTCGTGTCTGCATCGCCTCCCCCACACACCTGTCGATCCCCAGGCTGCAAGCCGGAAAACACAACTCGGACCACCCCCTGCAGCTTGTCGCTCCTCTCCCCTTCCCCCGCGCCCTCCTGCGGTGGCACCCCCAGCTCCACCGCCGTCCGCCCTCTTCCTCTTCCCCCCCACTCCTCCTGCCGCTTTCGCCTCCCCCTTCTCCGCCCCCCTCTCCGCAGCAGAACCACCGCTACCGTCACTACCGACGGCGTTCGAAACCTTGCGTTTGGCGTTTCGCACCCCTCCCTTGCCTTTCTTTTTCTCAGCTGACGTCCTCCCCGGACCGGGGCTGACGACCTCGGCAGGCCGGGAACCCCCCCCCTTGGAGGCCCTTTTACCTCTGCGCCCCCCCCCCCCGCCCTCGGCATCGGAACTTGCACCGCCGCCACTGCTGCGCTTGAGGCGCTTTCCTGGCCTTCGGCGCGGCCACTACCGGCCCCGGCGGCTTGTCGCTGGCCCTGCCCTTGCGACGGCGGCGGCTGCTGTTGCCTTCGCCGTTGCTGATCGCGGAATTTCCGGCGGCAGCGGAGGACTTCGAGCCGTTCGCGGGGGAGACTCGGTCGTTGTTGTCGCCTTCACCTTCCTGGACGGGGTCGGGGCCGTTGTCGCGTAAGGCCATCTCGTCGGCATCGTCATCGCCAAACGCAACAAATCCGTCGTCATCATCGTCGACAGCGCCGACATCGTCGTCGTCAGCCTCAACAATGTCAACGGTGGTGGCGGCGGCAGCAGCAGCAGCACTCTTTCCCTCAGGGGCAGCAGGAGCAGCAGCAGTGGCAGCATCAGCATAAGCAGCAGTAGCAGTGGCAACAGCGGCGGCAGAAGCAACAGCAGCGGCAGAGCTGGGGGTCGCGGCACCTCCGGCCGCGGCGTCCTTGTCTCCCGCTTCTTTAGCGGGAGAGCTAGACTGCTTGCGCCTCTTTGTGGTGGCGCCGCGGGTCTTCGAGGTGCTTCTTCGCCCGCCTCCCTTGCCGCGCCGGCCTTGCCGCCCGCCGGTCCCCTCGCCACCGTCCTCATCCCTCGCCAAGCCCCGCTTCGTGCCAACGAGGCCGGTCTTGGACTTGTCACCGCCCCTCGTTTCCTCGGACACCGCCGCCCCAGCCTTCTTGGCCACATCGGTCGGGCTCCCCTTCCCGTCGGCGACCTTACGCTGCTGCTGCTGCTGCTGCTGCTGCTGCTGCTGCCGCCGCCTCCCCCCGCGTGCAGAAGAAGCAGAGCCGGCCATCAAAATCATCGCCGCCGCCGCCGTATCGTGGTTCTCCACCGAGTTGGCGTTCTCCTGCGAGGCCCCCGGCTGTCCGACGGTCCTATCTTCGCCGACCAACGCGGACATGGCAACCACGGCCTCCGTGATGTCATCCAGAGACTGCGAAGACACCACCGGGCCAGCCTTCCCCGCGCTCAAAGCATCAGCCACTCTCGCCGCAGCACTCGAAGAAGCCACTCCCCCCGCCGCAGGGGCACTAGCAGCGGCAGCTCCGCGAGTGCTGACCCGCCGCTTGCTTCCTCCTCGCCCTGCCGACACCGCCGATGATGCAGCGGCAACGGAGGCGGCAACCCCGCGGCGAGTGCTGGCCCGCCGCTTGCTTCCTGCTCGCCCTGCCGGGGCCGCGTCCTCCACAGAGACGGTACCCGCCGTCGCAGCCGACGCCTCCTCCTCCGCCGCCGCCGATGGCGATGCAACTGGCGCGGCCGAGGCGTCTTCCCGCACGGCGTCTCCCCCGTCCCCTCGCCCTGCCCCGTCAACGCCGGCCGCGGCCACCGCCTTCTCGGGAGCACCACCGTCCTTCGCCTCCTGCCCCTCCCCCGGCAGCGGGGAAGTAGAACAAGCGACCCCTCTATCCTTCCTCCCTCTCTCTCCCCGACGTCTCCCTCCCACGCCCCCGTTCCGAAGCCTGGCGGAGCCCCTCCTCTCGCCGACGCCGCTCCGGCCAGTTCTCTCTGCTCCGAGGGCACCCATCTCAACCGCAGCAGTGCCGACCCTGACATCGGCAACCGAAGCAGAACGCTCACCTGTATTCGAGCCTTGGGCGGCGTCAACGACAGCCGCCGCGGCCGTACACGCCGCGCCACCTGCGGACGCGTCCTCCTCCTCCTCCTCCTCCTCCTCCGCAGCACGCTCCAACAGGGTTTGCCCACCGGGGGGAGCTTCCGTCCCAGGGTCATCAGCCGGGGACCCGCCTTCTTTGGGGGAGCTGCCGTCGTGACAACTCCTGGAAAAAGGGGAGTCGGGTGGACAGGAGAAGCGGCACAACCAAGCAGGTGTGGACGAAAGGAATCTGAGGTTTAGTGGGCCAGGCACATAGGAAGCCAGCATGACCGGGTGTGAACGGCTACAACTAATTAGGTGCTGGGTCGGGCAGGTGGGAAAACCAGCACAACCGGATGTGCACGGAATAAATTTTGAGGTACTGTATTGGAGGGAGGCGTGCCTTGGTGGATTCGAGGTTTGTATGATAGTAGCACGGGTTGTGGGTACCGCGGAGGCTGGATGGCGCTCGCGGGGGAATCACATCAGATGTCAGCGAAACGTTCTCTCTGAAGGCCGCAGAACATGGTGAAGAAAGAAACCAATCGAACGGACATCGCATACAAGGAACCGCCCACCACCTTTTTAGGTCTTTGGCTAAACGAGCACGCTGCCGACAGCAGTCAGAGGCCTTCCACAAAACACAACTACTGCAATCCCCAACACGAAAAACCACGTAAAATATGAGTACCACGAGCCATGACCAGACGATTGGGATAGGTCGAGAGACGGTCGCGTGCGGGGGTGGCGCATGGGAAAATCATGAACACCACATTCTTCAAAGAAGCGGAGGGCAAGAAGCCTACTCCCTGAACACTAACAAAATCAGGTGCACATGTGGCCGAAAAAGAGAAGTTTCCCAAAATTACCTCTGCACAGTTTCCGTGTCCGACTCTTCTGCAGTGTCGGCGTCATTCCCCCGGGGGTGTCCCCCCACCTGCGGCGCCACCTCCATCCCACCCGTCTCCCCTTCTCCAGCCTCCTCATCCCCGTCCCGCTCGCCGGCGGCCGCGAGATCACGCCCACCGTCATCGCCGCCGCGTGCGGCATCTCGCAGCCCCGCCCCGTCAACCGCAGCGCCAGCCACACCCGGGCCCGTCCCCGCCGCAACCGTCTCCGCTCCCGCCCCCCGCACGGCGGCATCGGGCGGAGGGCGGCCGAGGAGCGAAGTCGAAGGGGAAGGCACGGCCTCGAAAAGCCGAATCGCTGGCGCGGTGCTCCCCTCCTCCTCGTCGCACGGTCGGGGTAAGGACACTACTCCCGCTCCTTGCCCTCCACCCGGCGTTGTGTTGAGAGTGGCAGCCGCTCGGCCGCCCTTCACCCCGGCGTCGCTCCCCCCCCTCCTGCCGCCGACAACCTTCTCTCCCGTCGCCAACCTCCTGCCGCCGGAGTCGCCCCCCGTGTCGCCGGCGCCAGCGTTACCGTGGGAGGACGATGCTACGCCGCCCGCCCGGTCGACAACGCTGCTACCAGGCACCGCTCCCGCCGCCGCGCGCCGGAAGAGGCTGGTCCCTGGGGATGCAAGTCCCGGCAGAGACGCAGCAACGGGAGGGTGGTGCGGCGCATCGCCGCCGGGGGGGGTTGCGCCGCCAATGCCACCGTTCCCTTGCAGAAGCCCTTGTTGATGCTTGCCGTGACTGCCACCGCTTGCTCGTGACGGCTCCACGTCACGATCGATGCCGGCGCTGTCGGTACCCACTTTTGGGCACAATTTTCGGTTGGACACGGGCGCGGCCAGCGGCGGCGGCCCTCTGGTGCTCTTCGCCGATGAGGAAGCCGTGCTACGCCCCATCTCGTACCTTTGATTGGCCGGGGGGGGGAGGGCACATAGCTTCAGTGATGTGTTTGCGAGACAATGCGGGCCGGCAAAACGTGAGTAGTTTCAGAAAACAGAGAGCAAAAATCACCATTTCTCTGTCAAGAGCGACCCGACGTGCAACAGGGAAAACGAAGACAGCGACAGGCACAGCTACAATCTTGCGAACCTCTGATCTCCCGTGAGTTTTTTCGCAGCGAACGGGAAAGAAAGGCGACCAAGCAAGACACAGGAGGTGTTCTCCGTGTAATAGGGTAGCCGATCCGGCACATCAACCCAGCCAGCACAACCCCAGAAATCACACAACCTTCAAGGCGGTGCCAACGGCGTGAAAATCACCGCAGTGCAAAATTCCACCAAACCGGTGACAACAAACCGGAAGCTTCTCTGCACAGGGACAAACCACACCCCTCGACTCCCGTCTGGAGGGTGTAGCCCTTCCTTCTGTCGCACCTGTAGAAGCCGAACTCAAATCATTAGTCTAATGGTTTGATTTCGGCTTCTATACATCCTAGGTTGCATAAGATAACACACCCTCTGGACCGATTTTCAGAGCTCGGAAACTCCACGACGACGAGAGTGACCCGTTTTCGGAAAGCTCTCGACGAGATTGCGCCAATGACGTCGGTTCCGGCGTCGTCGCGGCGTTGCTGCAGAGTGTACTCGAGCTTTGAAAATCGGCCCAGGGGGTGTGGTATCATACGTCATCCTACCTACGGTACTCGTGTTTTCCGCGCTGCCCTGTATACGCAGAGAGGAAACAACAACTTCCTCACCCTTCCCACGTGCCGTTGGGGCTGCTAACGTCCCCCGCCGCTGCCGCCGCCGATGACAATCCCCTCTCGCCCCCCGCCCCCCGTCCGCCCGAACTCGCGGCGCCCCCGGCGCCTTCAGCAGGCGGGATGCCGGATCCGCCACGAGGAGGGGGCGACGACATCCCCCGCTCGGAACGTGCGGCGGGATCGGTGCCGTTTCGGGTCCCGCGAGCCCTGGGAGGTCTCCGGGAGGCTCTCGGGGCTGCGCTTTGACACATGACGCACTTTCGGGCGGCAAGCTGCCAAAAGGGGGGACGGCAACACACATGAACGGGTCGATATTTAGTCTAACCGGTGTGTCGCACCTCGAGACGTCAGTCGACAACAACAAGGAGCTCGAGAGTTTCCGGGTGTATCAGCCCGGGTCACGCAGGTTGATGGTCACCTAGGAGCTATCCTATCTTACTATCAAGTCATGTCAGCGGATTTTTCAGACTGGTTTAGTTTTCGTCCCATAAATATTGCGCGTCAATCTACACCTTTCGCTGCCATACAGTATGTGCCTAACGCACCAGCCGGGATCACGCAGAAGGAATGCAAAATAAAAATGCAAACACAAAAGTTTCCTTGATCTTATTTTGTTCAGTGCGAAAGCAAACAAAACTGCTGACGATAGGATGCGGGTGCTGTGAGCACGCCCCAGGAACTAAAAAAAAAAAAAAAAACTGGCTCCAGAAAAACAGGAACCAAGCAAAAACTCGCTCGCCATAAAACCTTGCGTAACTGACTGTACCCTACCTCGTTCAAGAAGGTGCACTTCCCGCAGCTCCAACCGTCCTGCGCCTCGCCCTCCGCTCCCCCTTCTACTGGTTCTTTCGGGTGATCCCCTGCCCCCTTGCCTGCCCTGCTTCTCCTGCCGCCTTCACCACTACCGCCGCCGCCTCCGGCGGCCGGCCCAGTCCTGGCCCTAGCCTTGGAGACCCTCGAGGTGCCCGCGCTCAGGTCCGCTGCGTATCCGGAAGCCGGCGTCGTGGTCCCTCTTCCCCCCGCTGCTCCGCCGCTGCCGCGAACCGCGCTCTCGGGCTGCCATGATGTCAGTCACCACCAGCATCATCGCGCAACAAAAGCAATCAGATCAGAAACATATAAAATTGCCAGCCGTGACGGGGGGGGGGGGGGGGGGGGCAAGGTTGCGGGGGGATGCTTTCAACCTAGGAAAGCCAACAAGGTGGATACGCGATGCTAGGAACCTTTGGGCTCAAGACGCCAAGGTTGGAGGAGTGGGCGAGAAAGACGCTCGGATGCGGCTCAATCGGTAACGAACAGGTATTGCACAAGGATAGAGGGGGGTTTTGAACGCGGGTAAGGTTGTCCGGAACCTCAACCATCGTTACTCAAACGACCACAGGGAGGTAGGCCGTCGTCTGAATTGGGGGCGACTTTCACCATGTTGAGCAAGGAGGAGAGGAATTGCGACTAAGGCGATGGTCAATGCGACTGAAAGCTCCGCCCCCACCATTCCTTCGAAAACTTCAGTAACCGTTAAAAGCTTGATTTCTATCTCAAAAACTTACTGTGCAATATGTATTGAAAATAGCTTTGCATTTTATGGTAACACCGCTTTTTATGGCTCCACAATGTTGCAAGAAAAGTTGCAGACTGCAGACATTTTCTGCAACTTTGCTCGCGAACTTTGTCACTAACATTTTTTGTGCACGTTCATTATGGGACGAAGAAAGTTTTGTGCACGAGACTGGCGGAATACGGAGGCATGATCTGTATTTTTTCTTAGCAACGGCGAGAAGAAGGCACGCGCCTTTCATCTTGCACCGTGAAAGAACCGGTCAAAGCGTGCAGGAGAGGGTAGTTGCAACCTTTTTTCTCCACACTCACGATACCCCAAGGCATCTAAACTGATACCAGAAAGATGCTGGGTAAAGCAAGCTAGCTCCCCGGGGGCGGCATTGCTGTTGCTGTTGCCTTCTCCTTCGAAAAGTTATCGCTGGAAAACCAAGCCATGCGCACGCAATCCCTGCGAACTTGAACCAACCGCCCTCTGACGTGGGTACTTTCGGGTCGATCAAAACCTTTTTCCCGATGTGCAAAATACCCCACGGCACCAAACCTTGCGCATGAAATATGGAGCAGAGAGCTACCTCCCACCTAGCGGCCTTGCTTTTGCTGTTGCTTTCTCCTTCGGAAAGTTATCGGTGGACAACCAAACCCGTGGCCGTCAAAAACATCGAACTTGAAATAACCGCTCACGGCTGTTGACGGTTGTGCACAGCAAAAACTTTTATTCCCGGCGCATTCGGCACCTCACGGCCCAAAACCTTGGCATTGCCCAACAGCCCATGGCATCACCTCCTTCCGGATACCATTCATGACGCATCTTGTTAAGTTCTCGTCGAGATCTCGGTGATCACAGCCTTCCCACAATTAATGCTGGAGCGGGTCTACGTGTGCGGTAGGGGTAGCAGCTTGACGTGAACCGGTATGATTTCCGCCGTGCAGCTTTTCTCGCCCCTTCCCGACTCGAGAAAAGCTGCAAAACTGTTCGGCCAGATTGCAGCTTTTCGCTCCGGAAAAAAAATTGCAGGACTCTTCGTGCAACTTTTAGCTCCAATACTGAGCGTACATTAGCAAAGCTGCAAGAAAAGTTGCAGAAATGCAGCTTTTTTTGCAACATTGTGGAGCCATAAAAAAAAAAAAAAGGTGCAAGATCCAACATCACAAACAACTCGCAGTATCGACCTCCACGTCCCACCGGGCCAACATAGCTTACCTCTCGCATTGGGTTCTTCGCTGAGCACCCCCGCCTCCTCGTCCCGCTCACAGGGGTCGTGATGCCTCCGGTGCCGCTCCCCCCGACGCCCTTGGGAGCCAAACGGGGGCTCGGCCCCGGCGACACTCGACTTTGCCGCCTGCCGCCGCCACCGCCGCCACCGGCCCCCGTTTGCGGTCCCCTGATAGAAGAACGCCGCGACAACTTCCGGTAACTCCCGCCCGTAGCGGCGTCGGCGGGGCCATCATCGGTCTCCGAATCGTCCGCCTCTGATTGGCTCACGTGCCCGCGGTTGGCGGCCTGGGACGGGGGGGACGGGGGGGGGGTACATAGTTGCTAGTGCCCGGTCATACGTAAGGCCCTGGTATCCATATACACGCCGGGGGCTGCGGGAGGAGCGCCTCCGCTTGCACAGCCGAAAAATAAACATACGGATGGTACCGCGAAAAAATTACGATTTCCGCGTATTCCGTTTGCTTTCTGAAGTCGAGAACAGTAAAAAAACAGTTGTCTTGCAGGTTGTGGGTACAGCTCTAGTGGGGGGGTTGCTGTAGCTTGGTTGGCTTGTTGGCAAAATAAATCTGAACCTGTGCCTCCTTTCGTGTACACTTGTCGAGCCAGGCTCTACCGTACCAATGCTGCGTGCCAAAACAAGCATACGTACCACCAGATTTCCATAAACTAGGACAAAGCACCGCACTTCACAACCACGTAAAGACGACAAAAGGATTCGCGTTCTTCGCCCGAAACCTACACAGATACACACCTTGCTGTCGCAATCCGTTGAGTCCAGCATGGTGCGCTCCGTCTCGTCGCCATCCGACATCCCGAAGACGTCGCTGGTGTCCCCGGGGGAAGAAACGCCTACACCTGATGCACGCAGCGGGATCATGTGAAAAAGGTTAACGAGGGATAGACGATGGCGTCACGCTGTCGTCCACCCCAACGCACCATATCTTGTCGGGTTTTAATCCCGTCCCACAGCAGTATTCCACAAGGTACCGAATTCCACCCAACGTTACACTCCCGGCGATACCACCGGTGGGGTCTTCTTCTGTGGGAAGGGCGGTGTCCTATTGTGGGGGGGGGTGTTATCTTCCGTGTAATACAAGGTAAAAAGTGATGCTTTCCACTGCAACCCCGTTTCGCCCCTGTACAATCACTTCAGAGACGAACAAACGAGCTCGCTCGCAAAACCCGGCCAAATGCTGTGTTGGTTGCTAGTTTAACAGCGAAATGTTTGAAAGGAAAAACCAACAAGCTCGCCCTGCCTACCTGCGCTGTAACCACGGACGGAGCTCAAGAGGTAGAACTCTACGGGCGTGTGGCAAGGGTGACATACATTCTGGCGTGCGTGACGCCCGAGATACAGTAGTTTCTCGTTCTTGAAGTCTCGATACCCGGAAAGGCCTCCGATGAGGGAGAGGTACTGTACGCGAAGAGGCTCAATTCCAAAACACACGGTGTAAATTGTAAACACTCCACCCCACCCCTCACCTGCTCTCGAACTTCTGGCCCTACCTCCACCCCCGCGTCTCGCCCCGTCCAGATACAGTCCAGGCGAAGCCAACACCGGCGCCGAGGCGCGGGCCGGCCCCCCCACCCTCCCCGCGGAACCGAGCCCCGTGACCAGGAGCCTCCCGTTCTTCTTCGCGGAGCCCCTCCCGAGCAGCCCTCTCCCGCCCACCTTCCAGGAAGAGAACTTCTCCGACGACCCCGGGGATGCCGGCGAGGCGTCCCCTCCCGCAGCACCGCCTGCTACTGCGTTCTCTTCCTCCGGTGGTGGTGCTGTGGAGGACGATGGCCGGGGCCCTTGTTGATCGCAACGGCTTTCGTCATGGTCGCCCGCAGGGCATTGTCCACCGCCACCGCTGACGGCGGCACCACACCGCCCGGATCTCCCGGCCGGACGACCGGCGCTCGTCTCCGCCATCACGGCACGGGCAGCGGTCTCGCTGTCGGTATCCGTGTTGCTGGCATCGTCGTCTGCCACGACCGTGTCGTTGAGGCCCGTCTCCATCTCCTCGTCGGGGCCTTGATCCGCCAAAACCGTCGATTCCAGGTCGACGCCTACCTCCTCCGTGGGCGCTTCGCCGCCACCACCGGCGGCCCCGTCCTCCCCGAACCAACCATCATCATCATCATCATCATCATCATCTTCTTCGACCACCTCCTCTTCACCATCGCCGCCGCCACCGGCGCGGACGGCCGCCGTCCCCTTGACCGGCGCCGCCGCCGCCGAGGGTTCGGAAGACCGCCGGGAGAAGCGGCCGCTCCCGTACGTATTCCTCGGAGAGGCCAGCGGCAACGCAGACCGAGATCTCAGGGGGGCGTCTCCAATCTTCCCGCTACGACTCCCCGCACTGCCGCTGCCGCCGCCGCCGCCGCCGCCGTCCCGGACGTAAGACGGGGCATCCCGTCCCTCTGTGGCAGGAGGGGGCGAGGAGTCGCCGCCGCCGCCGCTGTCGTCGTCGTCGTCGCGTGGCTCGGACCACTTGCTGCGGGAGGCGGAGGAGGAGGAGGAGGAGGAGGCGTGATTGGAGCGCTTGGAAGAAGCCTCGCGTTTCGCTTTCGCGGCCGCTTCACCCCGGCCGCTGTTGTGGCTGCTGCTTCTGTCTTCTCCGACCAGGTCGTCGGCCTCCAACCCGAGATCAGGCGGGTCCCTGGTTGTCGAAGCCAAGCCGGGGTTGGGGGAATAGGGTGCGGGGTGCCGTGTGTCACAGAGGAGACCTTGGGTCTCAAGTGTTGTCAAAACTTGATACTCATGACAGGTGTTATTGCGTGTTTTTCGTCCTTTTTATTATGGCGAAAGTCCCCCCATAGGTACGATCGCTAATCCTCCTCCGAACATACCACACGGTTGGCCCGGCACGACAGGCCTCCGTTACGGTCCAGAGCGAACGGAAGGTAGCGCTAGGACTACAACAAGGGTTGGAGGTTGAAGCAAGAGAGGCGTTCATTCGCCCTGCACGCTTCACAGCCCGCGTAGCCCGGATAATTCTTACACACAGTCTTGCGCATTCCTGGCTTGCCTTCGGCCAACGGGCTACAGCTATGCCTCGCCTCACCCAAGTACCATCCTCCACGTTTTCCTGCTAAAAAAATTACTCTCGGTTTGCTTCTACGATCTTGGCCCACGACCCTTACTGCTGCTACCATCGTTTTGTGGCCTCTACCTCTGGGAGCTCGAGAAGCACAAGCCAGTCTTGTCCACGTCCTGCCACTCGTCGATGGTCGGCTCCAGCGTGGGCTTGCGGCGCGCTGGCTTGCGTCGCGCCTAGTCATGCCAAGACAGCGGGCGCGGGAAAAAGAAAGAAGCCAAAGAGGGGAACAGGATGTGTAGTCAGAAGTGCAGCGGACGAAAAAGGGTACAGGAACAGACTGGTTCGCACAGCAGGAACGGAAGAAGCCGCAGCTCAAAAAGCATCAGGTACATCGTTGAACAAAGGGTACAAGCTTTGAACAACGTGTGGTATAGTACAGGCACAGCCAGCCGTCAGTGACGGAGGGGCCAAGCAGTCAGTCCGAACTCCTCACGGACATCGGCAGCAACTAACACAACTGACTCCCACACTTTGAACAACATACGTGCGGCGCAAATCACCAATATGTTTTCCGCCGCAAGCATTCACGAACGGCGGGACCCACATGTACAGCGGTGCATACCTTACGCTTCTTCTTGTCCGCGACCACCGCGTACAAGTCAGGGCTGAACGCGGCAGGATGGTCATGTTCCGCCGCATGCACCCCCCCCTGGTCTCCGAAACCAGACCATGTCACCGCATCGGGCGGTGAGGACAAAAATAAAAAAAAAGATAACGGAGGTGGGTGTGAGGAGAAATAACAGGGTTCAAAAAGGCTACCTCAACGTGGCTCGGCTGCCCTGGTACTGACAGGGGAACCAATGCGATGGAAGCGTAGGCACTCGTAGATGTAAATACGCTACCGCGAGTTGGTAGCCATTTATCTGGGTCTTGGCCACAAACATGCAATCACCTACTCCGAATCAGCGACAAGGTACCGTAATGGATGTCAATCGCCCGCGAGGCCTGTCGCCAGACTGCACAAACAAACGGACTGTTCGCACGTTTGCAGCGGCACGCCCTACAGCTTCGTGGCGATGAAAAATGTTTCGAAATATGTACAGGTCGGGTGCGAGTCCCACGGATGGTCTGTCGGGTAGATGCATGCATCATGGGCACGATTGGACACTCCGCAAACTAGCACTGTTGCCGCTACCACTACTGTTTTGTTGTGGCTATGGATGCTGCTATCCTTGGTATCGCCGACAAGGAGTTGCTCTCCTTGTTGTCTTCTTCGTTGTTGTTGTTTTTGATGATGTTGTTGCTGCTAATGATATTGTTGGCAACGGGATACTATTGTTGCTGGTGCCGTTGCCACCGATGCTGCTGTATTGCTGTACGCGATGAGCTACGTACCTTGTCGCAGACGTGCACCCAGGAAGGAGAGACAAGCGCAACCCCGGCATCAGACGCCTTCTGCGCGGTGCCTGCGCAGCAAGAATTATATCACGAACCAAATAAGCGCGGGGCGCGGAACACGGGGGAGATGAGCGAGGCGTGGGAACAAAAAAAAAAGGTACAAGGGTTTCGCCGAGAGAGATGGGTTCACTGATAACGTCATGGACGTGGGGGAGAACGATTGGAGGGGGGGGGGAGGTAATTCTGTTGCTTCAGGTGCCGGGTTGGGTCTCACTTTGTTGCCGAGTTTCCAAAATTCCCGAGAAACTGGATTCTCGATTGTGGCTTCGAAAAAACAATTGAATGTGGAGACGTGGAGCTGAAATACGGTCTGATTACAACGGCCCTTTCGCACGAGGGCGACTAGCAAATATCGCCCATCCGTAGCTTAGTTGAGCGCGGGAAGTAGGCGCCGCCAGTCTTGTAATCTTCGGACCACAAGCAGCAGGAGCATGGCCTAAGCACATGTCCAGATTACGGGGACCATCTGGCGCATCCGAGGGCAACAAGACTGCGGTTACCACTTGACAGCAGCGACAGCTGTCCACACAAGCGTTCTTCTCTATTTAGTTTCCCTAAGGCGACTGGGAAAAAAAAAAGTCTTCCCTCTATCACAGTCTCTCATCCTCTCCACATCCCGAGTTTAGCATCTCCATACGTGCCTCAAGCCCAACACGGCGGGAAAAACGCGCCCTCCGACTGAAACAAAACGACTCACCTTCATCACCCCCCTGCCATACGAGGTGCGTCAAGGTTTCCATGCTCTTTGGGAGGCGTGCGCGGACGTCGGCCCCCAGAGTCCGGAGCAGCCTCCGGTACTCGTCCCGCATCGGAGATCGGTCGTCGAGAAAGGCGTCTACGTAGATCACCAAGCCCGTTAGCGGCTGCTCCCACACACGAAGCCGTGTTGTTCGTTTGTCAAGGTTTTGACCGGCGGGGGGGTAGAGGAGGGGGGGGGTATTGAGAGACAGATGGATTATTGAGAGACAGAGGGAGACCAGAGAGAGACAGACAGGCAGACAGGGAGACGGACAGACAGACATGACAGGCGAATAGCGAGAAAGACAGACAGAGAGAGAGAGAGAGAGACACGGAGGGATAGGCCCAAATAGGCGCACACATGAAGCGCAATGGTCTCTGTATCTCTCTCTCTCTCCCTGGAGAAAAGAAAATTCAAACCCCTCTATTCCTCTTGCCACAGCAGTGCGTGTACACCACATACAACTATCCCACGACGCACCCCACTGCTGTTGCGTCTCCTAGATTTGCCCTCGCCAGGAGTTTTACGTCCCGCAGAGCTCCGCCTGACCAATAGATCAGCCAATTCGCGTGAGAGGGTGGCAAGTGTGGGGGAACGGGGGAAGATGACGGGGGAAGTGGGGGCGCATTCATGAGTTTGGGTCCGCTCCGAAGTATGTGACTGCCGCTGTCGCAGCGCCCATTGAGGAAGCCCAGATGGGAGGCGCTACGATAGCTCCTTGGTGCAAGAGGACGCCTGCTGCAGTGTTCTAAAGAGGTACATACACCAGTACATGACGGGGTGAGTATAAGTCGATGTCCACAAAATACGCATCAAAACCATGTCCAAGTACGAAACAAAGGGTCCAAAACGTCCCTGGGGGTTAGTGCTGCCGGTTCTGTTGCGCGGAGGCGCGCTCTCGACACCCACGCACACTTTGGTTGCAGACATCTCGCGCTGAAACCCGTGGCGTTGGGCCTTGAAACCAAGCGTACGAGAGCGTACCCAAGAAACTACGGAGCAACGAGACTGGGGAAGGGTCCATTACTGTCGTTTCCGTTTTCGACATCATCAGGACCATTGCCGTGCTGCTGCTGCATGCACGGGTTGTTTCGCACTTCGAGTCGTTGTACAATGTAACTACAAGCAGACTTTGTTTTGTTACCGGTTGCGGCAAGTTTCAAATGCGGTTGTTTACGTTGTCAAATGGGCGGGGGGGGGGCGCCTAACGCGGCATTCATTGCACCAATACTGCTGAAAGCTTGTTCGGTGCTGGCACCCCGGCAGAACAGCGCAACTTCTCAATGACTGACCCGTGTGTTGGCGGCGGAAGCACCTGCTCGATTCTATTCATATTTCAATGCCAACCAGTCCGAGGTGATTGGACGACGAAAATCTTTCCCACCCTACAGCAGTAGCGCAGGGAGCGAGAAAGCCTGTTGCCGTCGTCATCACGACTGCTGTGACTCAAGACCTGACCCCGACTTGGAAGATGGCACATGTTTTTTGGTCAGAACGCTGCGTGTAGGCTATTACTGCCGTGATGCTGGTCACGACTGCTGTGACTCAAGACCTGACCCCGACTTGGAAGATAGCACATGTTTTTTGGTCAGAACGCTGCATATAGGCTATTACTGCCGTGATGCTGGTCGCGCCATTCTCTTGCGAATTCGTTGAAACCACAGAGAAAACATGGGGGTTCAGGTTCGCAACCAAGCTGTAGAGACGCGGACGCAGGCCATCTATGGATGGAAGCAAGATGTTGGGTAGAGGGTACACTACACTACTATGAAGCACCCGTCTCGCTCGCTCTCTTGTGCACCATCTGCCTTTACAAGCTTGAGGCCGTATGTGTGTGTCGAAGTGCACAGCAGTCCCACGTTCATCTTTGCGCCATCTTGGTCGTGTAGCGAGGGCAACCTAGCATGAACTGTTGTCGGCACTCCTGCGTCCACGCAAACGCCCACAACACAACTGCTGTTTTCTCCTCACCCAGTGGAGGCCATCTTTATCTTTATTTCTCGCTCTCCTCCTTGCGCTCTCTCTCTATATGCCGAGCCGGTGCTTGCTGCCTCGATGCCCCCCGTTGTGACTGCCGAGCTTTCTTGGCGACCGGAGTGGTGCTCTTTCGGCACAGCAGTGAAAGCTTCCAAGCTCCTCCGAACAGGTTTGAAGCTGGCCCCTCAGCAAACAGAATCACCGCTTCCGCCACACCTGTTCCACCTCTCGTCGTGCCCACGACTCTTCTCACTAACTACCTCGACCTTGTTGTCACCATCACCACTTGCTGTGTTTTTCAAAAAATCCCTAACGGCTTTGCACCACCAATCTCCGTAGATGTCGAAGAATGTAAGAACGTGAAGAAACCTGGTCGAAAAAAAATGGAAAACTGTATCAAAGCTCCCACCCATATTGCTGTGCCCAACAACCACCCTTACTTCCTTCCCGCCCGGCAGCAGCGAGAGCGACTGACACCTCGCATAACCGGTGTCTCTCGTTCGGACTTGCCCGGAGACAGCCGTGTGAACCAGCTCTGCCTCGCCTTTGTTGGACACGAGAGAAGGCTGGGTCGGATCAAAACAAAGAAATGATGGGCATGACTGCGTGGTCGGGGTCAGCAGCAGCTGGTCTGCTATTGTTCCTCCTGTTGGCAGGCACCAGGGTGCAGACAGGCTCCGCTGGTAGCATACGGCTAACGGAGTGTCCCGCGGACGCACCAGAGGCCACCTTTAGCTGGACAAACGACGGGGACTACCTCTACGTGGAAGGGGACGGCTCTTGCGTGACCCTGCCGGACATTTACAACGGAGTCGACAACCCTCCCCTTACTTATCACACGGTCGATGGGGATGAGAGCGACACGGAGACAGGGTAAGAAGAGGCTCGTTGCTGTGCTTGTACCTAAAGAGGATATGTCTGTCTTGCTTCTCGGCATCTCACGTTGATTCCTAAAAGCCAAGGCCCCACATGGTCGGCGGAGCCGGGCGTTTGTTCATGCAGACCATCCGATACCCCGGCGAAAGTTCTCTATTTTTCGGGCCACAAAGGCGGTGCTCTTTCTTGCCTTGCCGGAACAGAATTGTTCGGGGACCGTTGCAAGCGATGTACACTATTGTATCTCTTTCTCCATCCACTTGAGCTGGTCTCGGGCATTTGTTGGCCTGGAGAACTAACTCCCTTTGTCGTTTTTCTAGGTCTTGTTGTTGTTGCGGTAAGTATGCACGCACGCACTACAGCAGCGCAGCAGTACGCTGCGGCCTACCAAATGGTATGCATCTTTCCCGAATTATCGAGGATGTCGGCATATATTTTGATTTCGTCACGCAAAAAGGGTACCTATACTTGTAGGGGTGTGACGCCTTGCACCTGTACGAAGAAGAATCAGAAAATGACGGCAGCACTGCGTCTTGACTGCAGGCGACCGATGCACGTACATAAGAGGTCTTGCATTATTAGGTATGTAGGCTTGCACGGATGCGCCCCCGAGGACAAAGTTGCATGTGTCGTGTGCCGATGTGTGGAGACCACCCGTTTCGACGACCATAGCGTTGAGCGAGCATCCGCGGCTTGCTTTGTACCATGGGTACTCCTCCGGCTACATTAATATTTGGTACATACAGACTTCACCAAAAACAAATCTGCAAATCTGGGTTGTGGAAGAGACAAGGAGCGCCCGTCTCTGATTGGGTAAAAAGTATTCCCGCCGTGGACGCTTCCTATCTTTGAGCGCGACGTCCGTGGCTCACAGCCGGATTCAAAGAGAGTGTTTGTTGTTGCTCTATTTTTATTACTCGGCTCCTTGGTGTTGCTCTATTTTAATTACTCGGCTCCTGTGCGTCACTTTTCTATCTACATGTTTGTGGCGGAGTGTTTTTGCGCGTTGCCAAATTGCTGTGTGGTTCTTTGGAGAGGCCTTCATTGGGGCGTCGTGTTGGTTGCAAGTGCCGCCCTGCATGTTGCAGTCGGTTCACTTGGGATCACGCGGATTTTGGGGGTTGTTTTCTTGCTCTACGTGTTGATGGGTTCGTCTTTACCCGACCGACCGTATCCGGTTGGGTTGAATAAATTGGGTTGGGCCGGGTTGGATTGGGTCGGGTTGGCGGGCTGGGTTCGGTCTCGGGTCTCGGGGGGGTTGGGTTGGGTTTGGTTTGGTTTGGTTTGGTTGGGCTGGTTTTGGTTGCGTTTGGTTTGGTTGGGTTGGGTTGGGTTGGGTTGGGGTTGTTTTTTTTTTTTTTCTTTTTGTCTTCACTTCAAATCAGCGCTCACAGCACTACAATAGTGCCGTTTACTCCAACTCGTGGTCACACAGAAGAGCCCCTCTCTGCCCTCCCCTCCTGCGGTACTTTGCCTTCGATTTTTAATGCGAGAAGAGTTCAGCACTCTTTTCCCTCTGTGTACACACGAACTAGCGCTATCCACTAGGCCAGGAGCGGAAGCGAGAGAAAAAACTCACTTTGCAAGAAAAGCTCGCTTACGCCGGGATTCGAACCCCTGACCTGACCTCTAGAAGGTTTCGAGGATACCAACTAATAGACCACCGGGGCGAAGGGGTTGGGTCGCCTCCGTCGATCGCGCCGCCGTCGCTTCGTCGCTTCGTCGTTCGTCGCCGTTTGGTTGGGTTGGGTAGGGTAGGGTAGGGTTGGGTCGGTCGGTCGGTCGGGCGGGCGGTCGATCGGGCGGCCTTGGGCCGCCTTCATCGATCGCGCCGCCGTCGCTCCGTCGATCGTCGCCGTCGATCGCCCTTGTTTATTATATACAGCAGTATTGCGTGCAAGAAGGATGAATGATTGTGAAGTGTCACAAGTGTCCGTCTTTTCCCGCAGTTTAGACCGCGTATCCCGGTTTTCAAAAGTGCGTACATGAATGTGTTTTTTTTTATCTTTTTTATAGATAGGTGTATCAACGCGTAAACGATGTGCGCAAAATCAGTACCTATTAGTTCAAGTACACCTCTTTTCATTTTTGTTTTGTATTGGTGGGTAGTTCGGCTGTGACCACGGAAGGCGTCCGCGTCAGTTGTACTATTTTAGTATAGTATAGTATAGTATAGTATACTACAGACATTAGAATCTCCATGGCTTTCTTGACCACCGGCTTGGAGGCCTCGTACTGAGCGGAGATCGGAACGTTTTTTAATGTGAAGACAACAACAACAATTTTGTTCGTGGTATTTTTCGTGGGAGAAAAACTCCTCCGCGTTTGGTTTGTCTTCCGCAGTGAGTCGGGATGAAAAATATGGAAGTGAAGGTTATTTTCAGGGCTTTCTTCGTTATTTTCATCCGCGGTAGTTTTACTGCGGTAAAACCACGGTAATTACCGTTTCCCGTGATCCCGTGAAAAATGAGAATTACCGTTAACGCCCAAACCGTTAACGAACAAGTTGAGTTTTCCCATTACCGTACAAAAGTCTACCGCGCAAGAATCGATTTTCCCGTGCATTCGAGTTACCGCGGGAGTACATTACCGTACGAACAAAAAGATCCCAATTACCGCACAGAAACACCAAGTGGATTTCTGGAGGTCATAATAGAATGACCCCTGCCTCTCTAGGCCATCAGGTGTTACCGTACAAAATGCACATTTCTGTGCATGACCGTGGTGGCTGGTTACCGTACAAGAAAATTACCGTGGTGACCAGTTACCGTACGGAATTTACCGTGGTGACCAGTTACCGTACGGTATTTACCGTGGTGGCCAGCTACCGCCCAAAACATTTCTGTACTGTGCCGTGGTGGCCAGTTAACGTCCAGAAAATACTGTATTGTTCTGTGGTTTCTGGTTAACGCGGGAAATGATGCCGACATGAAAAACCGTTAACGAAGAAAGCCCTGTTTATTTTTGCTTCGACCGATCAGAGCTCGAGATTGCTATGTTGGTTGATTTTGTGCACCTCTTTAAAACTTGTACCTGTTGCCCCTAAAGAGTCAGTTGGACCTTTGTGGAAAGCCAAAAAATCAGAATTGACCTCTTCTGCAAACCCGCGGAGCATGTTTTGTCTTGAACCAATCGGAACGCTCATGTAGGGTCTGGGTATCTCACGGCGTTTCGAAAAATATCAATCAGAACGAAGAGAGCACAAGAGAGGTGGAGAGGACAACACAAACGCCTGCATTTTCCCTAGAACCGGCCATGAACATCAGGCGTCCATTCGCCGCTTGCCTGTTCAATGCACGACGCCCAGCTATCAACCAAGCAACAAGCTGTGCCTTCTGGTACTTTTGTACGATGCCTACTTCTCTCTCTCTCTCTTTCGCTTTCGCCACTGATACGATAAGGGTCTCTTACAGCTGCTGTTGCCGTACTCTCTCGTGTGTTCTGTGGAGGATTCATTTATTGTTTGAGGGCGTTATCTCTCTCTCTCTCTCTCTCTCTCTCTCGTTGTCTGTTACAACGTCTGAATGTGTGTCGTGAGATGCATGTGTTGTCTCCGTGCCTTGCTTTCCCACCCTACGTGAATAACAAAAGGTCACGCACGCAGCACACAGTACTTCTCTCGTTTGGGAAGATTGCCAGATCGTTACACTTGTGTTCTCATGCTCGTGTGCATGCTACTGCTGCTGCCGCTGCTGCCGTTGCTTGCCCCCCCCCCCCCCCCCCCCCCTTTTGGTTTGGCGGTTTTGGGGAATGGAGGATCTGGGTTTTGGAGAAAAAACCGTAAATGGGGGCCGGGGATAACTTGGTCCTTTCCGAAGAATTTTGGTGGCCTGGGGGTTCCCAAAAATTTTCCCTGGATAAAAAAGAACAAGTTTTATTTTTGGGGGTTCTCTCCCAAAAAAAAGAAAGAAAGAATAATGGTGGGGTTTGTAAAGAAGTTTAAAGAAGAAATATTTAAACACGAGGAATGTAAGGGTGGGGATGTTGGGTTACAACCCTTTGGAATTGGGCGAGGTGGGGGGTTTAAAAGGGGGTCCAAGAAGGATTAATGAAGGGAAAAAGTCCTCCCTCTTTTTAAAAACTCGGGGGGGGCACGCGAAGTGGGCGGGAAAAGGTTATCCTTGGATTTGTTTCTCACCTCTTTCTCCTGGACGGCAGGCGGGGCAAGGACAAAATTTAAGGTGAAAAGGGGGCTGAAATTTTTGGAAAATTTG